CCGGGGACAGCCGGACGCCGTAACGCCTGCACCGGCGCAGGAGCGGCCCTCCGGCCCGGAGGGACGGCTGCGGCCCGGCCTACCCCGCGCCGGCCTAAGCACGGCGACCTCCGGCGGCCCCAGAGGAAGCAAGAGCGGCGGGGAGCGCCCAAGGCAGCGGGTCCCCGTGCCAGCCGTACCTGCCCCCGCAAGGCCGGCCGCGCCGGGCCGGGCGCACAAGGCAGCCCCGGCCCCTCCCGCCGCTTCCCCGTTACTACAACAACCGACGGGCGGCGGCCCCGCCCCGGCGCGCAGCCGCCCCCGCCGCCTCACTGCGCAGGCGCACTCGACTCCGCCCCCTGCCGGTGCTCCCCCTACTCCCGCGAGGTGGGCGGGGACGAGGCGGGCACGCCTCGCTCGCGGCGAAGGATCCGATTGGCGGGAGGCGGTCTTACGTGCCGTGGCGCGCGCGTGGAGCGGCGCTCAACGACCAATCGGAGCGCTGGGCGGTGGCGCGGGCGGGAGCGCCGCCGGTAACGGGCGGGGACTCGGCCTGGGCCCGGCGGGCGCGCTTCGAGCCGGCCGGGAGGATGAGCCGGTTCCTGAACGTGCTGCGCAGCTGGCTGGTGATGGTGTCGGTCATCGCCGCCGGGAATACCCTGCAGAGCTTCCGCGATCACGGCTTCCTCTCAGAGAAGCTGTACACCGCCAGCCCCGGCCTCGGTAAGGGCCGCGCCGGCCGCCCTGGCGCCTGGAGGTCTCCTTCCAGCCGTGGGCCTTGGACTGTCCTCGGGCTCCCACCTCCGGGGCCCGGGAGCTGCCTGCCGCCCCGGCGTGCCCCTCCACGGCGGGACGGGGGGTGGCAGGCAGGGCCGTGCGCGGTCTCCATGTGCTCCCTCCTTCTTTACGCAGTGAATGGGCTCCAGGCTCGGACCTTCGGCGTCTGGACCTTGTTGTCATCAGTGATCCGCTGCCTCTGCGCAATCGACATCCGTAACAGGACGTATGTAAAGCAGCACCCGAGAAATCCATTGGTTTGCTTGCTAGACACAGCCTGAGCTTAGGGGGCGGCACAGAGGAGGTGGGGAATCAAAAGCTGTTCCTGTCTATAGTGTTGACAGCATTCCCTTGAAGAAGCTCAAATAGCAGTGTGGGGTTTGTGCGGTAGCTGCTGCCCCCTTCTTCCTCTCTGGGGACAGCCTGTGCGTTTGAGTTCTGTTCTTAGCTCAGTCAGAAACTGGCAGATCTGAGAACCTCTTACTGTCACCAATCTCTGAGCTCCAGCTTGGAAAGCTTTTTCTCAATGGCGTTGCTGCTCTGTTAATTAAGCAATTTCTAATGCTGTGGTGTGACTGGTGGTCAATACTTCTTTTACTATGACAGCTCAGCTAAAGACTGGGATGGTTTTAGGTGCCCCATTGCAGCACTCTTAACCAGTTGTTTTCCTTCCTACACTCTTACCTGGGGCTGACAACAAGGCCTGAGGGGCAGCCTGATGCTGAGTGGGAGACACACCATTTCTCCCTGTGCTAACAGAAGTGTTTCTGAGAGGGGTTTCCAAGCAAGCTGACTTGAGGTCTGTGCTAGACAAAGCCTTTATTGGAGGTTGCTAAAATGTTTTTGTCAGTGCTTCCCTCTTCCCCGCAGCAGAAGTCACTGTTCACCTGGCAGTATGTGCTTGGATTGCCTAGGCTTATCTGAGGTAGGGAGGTGCAGGGACTAAACAGTATGCTTTTAGAGGGTGGTGGCAATGCCAGTTATCAAGAATCAGTTGTTTCTTTGAGAAATTTTATCTTGCATCTCTTGAACCTGCTCCCTTTTCAACGGCTGTGGCCCATAGAGGGTAGCAGAGCACAGGTGGGAAGACACTGGGTGACAGAGCCTGAAGTCAGCCAAGTCCTGTCACCCTAGTTCTCTGCTCATCCAGTTCTCACCTTCTTTTTGTGTATGCACATACTTCTCATTTCACTGGTGCCCTACTCATGCTCTCGTCTCTTCACCTTCCTTCAGGCCAGATAATGCCTGTGATTTTCAATGCACCATTGAACATGCTGCTCCATTCTCCTCTCAGCTGTTGCCCAGGGGGATTTTGCACCTCTCTAGGCAAGGGACAAAGTCCCCTCTGTGCTGTCAGTGGGAGCAGATGGGGCAGCATTCAGGTTTGCCTTTTTTCCCCACTCAGCCATATTCATGCCCATAGTATAATATGATAACCTGCTTTTTTCTGCTCTTCAACAGCCTCTATCACATCACACTCTTTACCTTCTTTTTGGCCCTTGCTCACTTCCTCTCTGAAGTCTTCGTATACCACACTGCAGCTTTGACAATTGGAGTTATGGCACCCCTCATGGTAGCAAGTAAGTAGAGCTCTGCATCCTCCCCCTGCATACTCTCCTTGGAGCTATGAGAGCCCAGAAAAACTCCCCGTGCAGCTATGGGCTGAGGGGATGCCTCATCTCATGTCCCACGTATTCTACACAACTCATCCTCTGTCGCAGGTTTCTCTATTATGGGGATGCTGATTGGACTGCAGTACCTGGAGGTAGAAGCACTATCACAAAACAAGAAGAAAAACTGAAGTTGAAGGCTTTTTGTGGGTCGGTGTCATCTTCTACCTTCACTGCCAGACTTCCACAAAAGCTCAGCTGACGCTCTCCAGGACACCAGTCCCGCTGGTGGGTGATGTTGGACTCTGTCAATCAGTGTCATTACCAAGTTGTTTTTGTCTTGTCCAGGCAACGTTTCAACTGACTGATGTCAAAGACCAAGTCCCAGAGGAGTTTGTGTCAAAGCTTATGGGAGGCAGTTGGTGACTGACTCCCAGGGTAGCAGGCAAAGCCTCTGGCACACCCAGAGCACTAAGGCCTTGTCTCCCAGTGTACCTGTGACAAGGTGCAGAACTGTCCAGGATGTGCTGAACACTTTGGAAGAGAAAGAGAGAATGGGTGCTACCCCTGGCATTGCTGTGTAACTTGCATGTGTGTGTTCCCCAGGGGCCATTTCTAATAAATGACAAAAAACTGCAGTGGGCTATGTTTGTCTTTCTCCTACACAGCAGTGGGTAGAAGAACAGAGCCAACAGCACCTTCCACTGTATGTTGCAGAATACATCATCTCTCTTTACAGCAAACCTACCTTTCCCTGAGTCCTTGCCACAGAGTTCTGGGTCTGACTGCTCACATGACACACATGAAGAGGGTTGTTGATGCTCTCTTTCTGCAGCATGCTGGTGACAGCACACTCAAACTATGAATCTGTGAGTGAGGACTGAGCTTCCTGTGTGGCAAGTTACAGCTACAGAAGATGGAGAAAACAGGGAACAGGTTCCTTAGACCTAGAGAAAATAAAGCCCAAAACAGTGGGCAGCAGACAGAATGCAGAAAAAAAACAGCACGAACTCCTAGCTGGGAAGACAATTCACATGCAGAAGAAAGAGGAAACAAAGGGAGGAAAAGAAGACAGCAGTAGTACTGGGCAAAAAGATGATTCTTCCATTCTGCAGAACATTTAATGAGCCACATGAAGACTGTTTCCAATCATTTAATATGACTACGTCAGGTTTCATTGTACACTTCAAATGTTTATATTTTACATTAAAATTTATATTGAAAATCATTCTAAACCCCCATCCTCAATCCCAAACTAGCAAAGACAGGACTTCAATCATAGAATATGCTGAATTGAAAGGAATTTATCAGGATCACAGTCCAACTCCTGGCCCTGTGCAGGACCCCTAAGAATCACACAATGTGCCTGAGAGTGTTGTCTGAGCACTTACTGAACTCAGGCTATCTCAAAATGTAGTGTATCAAAAATAATTAAAATTTCACCAAAAAAAATGTCTTATCAAAAATAGTTTGTCAGAGAGGAATATTTTTAACCATTCTACCTCAGTACAGCTTTTGTTCCCTGCCTCAAATAATACATAAGTAACAGCATGATTTAAGGCATATTAGGACATTTGATGTCTCCAGCAGGGGTGGGATGCTGGAAAGGATGGAGAAGTGATAAAAGGATCTAGAGTTGTGTTTAGAAGATAAACAGCATACAGATGGGAAGTGTCTGCAAGACATAAATGCTGGTAAGTTGGCACCTTCTCCTGTTCCCTATTATGAAGTGGGAAGCTTCCACATTGGAGCAAAGCTGGATTCCCATCATACCCCTCTCTGTGGCTGTGAAGAGCAACACAGCCTTGGCTGGTTTTCTCAATATAACACTTCACAAAAGTTTGTATGTCATGTTGAAATATGCAAAAGGCACTTTATTGTTAAGGAGGAAGACACGGTCCTCAGCCCAGGGAAACAGTGGTTTGACTTTTGTTGCTAATGTAGTGATGAGCTAGATTTAAGCTGCAGAACTAGTCCTTGCCTCAAGCTAGAAGGAGGCATACTGGTGTCTCTTAATTACTCCTAATATCTCAGAACCTCAGGGCAACCCCAGTGAATTCTGAGTAAAAGTTTATCCAGATTAAGAGTGCTTCATCTGGGAAAGCCAAATAATAAAAGGAGGTGGCAGCAGCTGGTGCACTGCTTTGCACTTTGCTAGTAATATACTGAGGCCTCTACTATTACCTGTGCAACACAGAGCATCATGGGAACCAAGGCAGAGCAATCCCTTTTCCCTAGAGCCAGCTCTTCCAGCCAACTTCAGAGTTAAGTGTGGTCCAGCTTCTGCCTTTCACATCACAGCCACATGCAAGGTGCCACCATCATGCTCAGGGTTAGCCTGGTACTGTGGCTTTTCTCTCAGCACATGTGCTTTTTCCAATCATACATGGTGGGACTGGGGGGACACAGCAGATTTTCCAGCATTTTCTCCCAAACACCAAAACAGCATGATGCAAGGATAAAACTGACAAAAGCAACTCCCCCCTCTTGTTTTGCTCTTTCTCCACAAGCAGTTCACAGTTCCTGTCCTGAGGCTGCTCCCCTCCCATGGCATGCATGTGACAGGAGCATGGTGCAGGTAGAAAAGATGGGAATGAGGGGGGCTGTATCTCCCAGCTTTGCCACCCCTTCATTTCACAGCCGTGATTCCTCAAGGACTATGGGATTAGTGTAGGCTTCTGGCAACACTTTCTGCAAGTCAGAGAAAAACAACATGGTCAGGATCCTGGCTAGCCAGACCCAGGCTTGAGACATCAGCTGACCACAGCCTGGGTAGTTCATAGCTCCCTATTACTGCAGAAATCCCCAAAGAAGAATCACCATCCTCAGAGAGTGCTGCTGGTTCCCTCTTCCTTCTCTTGCCACTTTGACTGCCCAAGCAAGGGGCACTGGGGCAGCAGGGCAGTGCAATGTCTGACTGTTTAAGCTACTTGCTGTAGTCCTCAGACCACTACTAATTCTCTGTGGTGTTGATACCACTGGAAGTATCAGACCCAGAGCCAGCTCACCAACAACATTTCACTGTGACACAAGCTCAGCTTCAAAGCATGAAGGTGCAGGGCCAGTTCCCTGGGCAAGGGAAAGTGCTGGGAACTCCTTCATGCCATGAGGCAGCACAGTGTCTGTGCAAACACCAGAGAGAACTTGTGTTCTTTACACCCTCAGGCTCAGCACAACCCCTAGTTCCCCTGTGTTCTTACTCCAGCATGTTTGAGGACTCTTAACTCCCAGACACATTGCTTATCTTGCTCATCTTCCAAGTCTTTTCATCCCCACCCCCACTGCCCATTGAAGTGCCAGCACCCTCTGTCCTGCTTCTTCCCTTTCCCAAGCTTGGATTTATGGCTGAGGTAACTCCACAGAGCGGTGCCTTCTTCAAAGTTCACTACTCATATCTTAAAGAGATGTAAGAAATAAGAAGCAAACATACGAAAGTTTTTTTCTCCATAAATCCTGTTGAAGAACTAGCCTGATTTCTTGAAACCTTAAGGTGAAGGGAGTTTTTCCAGAGGAAAAGCAAGGAAAAGGGGGACTGCTGCCCAATTACCAGCCTATCCTCACCTTCATGGAACAACCAAACTCTAATAATTCCAGTTCAGCTTCCCTGGGTGGAGTTTGACAAGCTCAGCTTCTGAGCCTTTCTGGGGTGTGTTAGGATTAGACTTGAGACTTCTTCCCCTAGTGGATTTCTGATACCTCTCAAGTTCTAATTCTGCTTACAGTGAGACAGTCCAGCTATCACCAATTCAGAAGACAGCACACAGACTTGTAAGGGTCAGTGTGGAGTCTCCTGCAGCCTGGGCTCTAAGTTTACTCACTGTAAGGCAAGATTGACATCTGAGGCAGAAATCAGAGGTGCACAGGAAAGAGGTTCACATCCCCAGCGCAGTTCAAGAGAAATACAGGCAGCATGGAAGCAAGAGATATGAAACAGTCTCATTTTGAGTAGGCTCTTACACAATCTGTAGGTGAAAAGGTTTTACAGAAGTCAGCAGCAATATCCCAAAGCAGAGGAGTGAGATAAGGAAACCTTCAAAGACATATCTGAAAGCAAAAGCCAGGAAGTGCAAAGAGGGAACTTCAACAAGCAGAAAGGGTAGGGGGGTGCATGAAAGTAGGAATAAGGGGAAATCTGCATTTAGACTTCAGAAACTCCACCAGAATGCACCATGGAAGCACTCAAGCAACTTAGAACGGGCTCCCCAAGCACTTTTGGGGTCTCAGCACCAGTCATTTGCTGTGGAGCTACAGGAGCAGAGATTTAGATCAGACAGTCTGCAGGGCTCCACCACCTTGGGAAAGGAAAGCTGCTCTCACAGCTGTGAGTCACAGTACTGGAAAAGGGCATAGAGATGGCCTACATATGGCTTAGGGACAGGAGAAGGCTGCTTGCCACACAGTAAACAGAGAAATGGAGCAGGGAAGTTTGGGAAGCAGAGAATGGGTACACATTGTTTGTCTACTGCACAAAATTCCAGCATTTTTTTACTGGCAGTATTTCACTAGAGGCTAAGCATTGTGCAGCTTCCAATAGAATCCAGTAAGCTACTGACGGTGGACACTTGTCCTAAACAAACTATGGAAGGTTAATAAAGATACTTTTTCTTAATGCAAAGAAACAAAGAGACAAAAAGGTTTGCATGGATGCTGCAAATCACAAGCAAACGAGCACAAGCAGTACACAGCATATTCACGAGTACAATGTGTGTGCTGAATCAACTGACACTACTATGAAATCTTAAGACACAACACTGGAATGGCTTCAGATGCATTTACAACAAAGGCAGCACACAAAGAGCCTCATTATCACTTAAAACAGGCATTTGATCCAAGTGTCCTGAGATACAGAAAGCTGAGGCAGACAAAAGTGGAGAGGATTATTTGGACCACACTACAGTTTAATTAATAGAGGACAAGGTGTACACAATGCCATTAGGCTCATTTAATCTACTAACTGCAACATTTGTTTAATTGTAACCATAGCAGAGGAGGGCACCAATAGAAGACAAACTGCTACACAGCCAGTGGTACAGGGCTTCAATGCAAAGTGAGATCTGCACAACTCCACAGCTCTGCATGCTCACAACTGACTCTAAGTCGTCTCCTTGCAACAACCACAGAATTGTTTAGGCTGGAAAAGATCCTTAAGATCACAGAGTCCAACCATTTACCCAGTACTGCCAAGTCCACCACTAAACTGGGTCCCTAAAAACCATGTCTACGTGTCTTATAAATACCTCCAGGGATGGTGACTCTAATGTTTCCCTAAACAGCCTGTTCCAATGCTTGACAACCTTCTTGATGAAGGAATTTTCCTAATACCCAATGTAAATCTCCCATGGTGTAACTTGAGGTTTGTTTCTTCTTGTCCTGTTGCAGACTGACCCCCAGCTCACTATGATCTCCTTTCAGGTTGTTGTAGAGACCAAAAAGCTCTTGAGCCTCCTTTTCTCCAGGCTAAACAACCCCAGCTCCTTCAGGTGCTCCTCATAGGACTTGTGCTCCAGACCCTTCACTAGCTCCCTTGCCCTTCTCTGGATATGCCCCAGCACTTCAATGTCCCTCTTGTAGTGAAGGGCCCAAAATTGGACACAGGACTTGAGGTGCAGCCTCACCAAGTACAGGTGGACAAACCTTCCCCCAGTCCTGCTGGCCACACTATTTCTGACATAAGCCAAGATGCCACTGGCCCTCTTGGCTACCTGGGCACACACTGGCTCATGTTCAGTGGCTGCTGACCAGCACCCCCAGGTCTTTTTCCAATGGGCAACTTTTCAGCTGCTCTTTTCCATGCCTGTAGCACTACCTGAGGTTGTTGTGACCCAACTGCAGGACCCAGCATTCACCTTGTTGAACCTCATAAAATTATCACAGTCTATCCAGGTCCCTCTGCAGAGCCTTCCCACCCCCCAGCAATACTCCTGCCCAACTTGGTGTTTGGTCTGCAAACTGACTAAGGGTGGACTTGATCCCCTCATGCAGTTCATCAACAAAGGCATTAAAACAGGACTGTCCCCAGTACTGAGCCTTGGGGCACTGGTGACCTGATGCCAGCTGGATGTAACTCCATTTACCAACACTTTCCCTGCCCATGGGACTCTTCCTCATACTTCCATCAAAGTACAGCAGCTTCATGGTCCCTGTAGAACATGCCCTAATCTCAGCAGGGTTAAGGTTGGTTTTCCCAATGGACTCGCTCTGCTTTTGCCTGTTAGTCCTGTTGGCTGTGGCACTAAATGATACACACAGTCTATCACACCTTGAAAAGCAAAGAGTAGCATGGATAACTTAGCAGACCAGCCTGTCAGAGGACACAGAGGACAGTGAGTAGTAAAGCATACCACCCCAAGCAACAGCTGAGAAAACACAAAGTACCACTGAGATTCACAGATCAACAAGCACAGAGCTTTACAATTTTCAGGTATTCTTATGCCACAAGGCACCAACCCAATGACTCTGTTCTTACTACATTTTTTTAAATTTCCTTCTTGAAGTTGGCCATGCACCCTGGCTGTGATCAAAACCAATTCTTTAGAGGGCTCCTGGTATCACCCTCCAGCCAAGAGTTTGGACTGTAAAAATAATGACAGAGAAGTGGCTCCAAATGTCTGCACCTCCTTTCCCTAACAAATGACTGACAGTTCAGTTCTTAATCTGCTCCAGCACCAGGCTTTGCTTTGCTGCATCTAGCTGAATCCCTACATCTCTGTCTGACATGAGTCTGGGGGGATCTCCACTCTGTTCTTGGAAGCTGTCTTGTCTTTCCTCTCAGCTGAGTACCTGAGAAGACCAGAAAGATTCTTGATACTCTACAGCCATTGCAGTCACCCCAGAAATGCCATTGGCTTCATGCCTGTGCCACCCTGTGAGCGTTCAGAGAAGTAGATTAGTGCAATTCTCCTACCTTGGTGTGTTTAAGCTAGTGAGCAGGAGTGGCAATTGATGGGGTTAGATTTACATGCTACAGTCCCATAATCCATGATCTGACTGCTGCCTTGGAGTCTCTGTAATGACAGTCACAAGTCAGAAAATATGGAGGCAAGTAGGAAAAGAAATTAAAGTGGAGCAAAATAAGAAAGGGAAACAGGCAATGGAAGAAAGCAGTAAAATCACCCAAGCATGTGTAAGGCAGCTGTGCCACACAGAAAAGCCCCAGTACCTGACTTTGTCAGAGCTCTCCACAAAGGCAGCACACAATGCCCAAGCCCAGCTGGCTGATCCCCTGGCCGAGGCATCCATCTTAATGCAGAATACCAGATTCAGCCTACCATCAGTCAGTTGAGCACCTGCAGCTGGTTGTTAAGTTTGAGAATACTCAGGTGAGCTCAGCCATGTGGAGAACACATTTGGGGGTGTGGTGGGGTGTGCAACATGGTTTCCTCCGAGCATGTCTCCTCAGGGGGAAGGAGCTGCCAGTGAAATTTTTGACTGACTGAGACCCTTTATCTCAGACACATCCCTTTGGTTCTTACTAGTGTCAGTTCTGGAGACTTTCAGGGTTATAAAAATGACATTGCACCACCTTTGCTCTGGTCGCAGTGCTCTTCCCCATGCAGCAGCAAGCTCTTACAACGGTATTTAGACTGAAAAGGATTTATACTAAACAGGGCTTAGGCAAAAAACGCACAATTCATCTGAGGAGAGAAGTGTCTGACAAAGGGAAAGGATCAACTACTAGAAGGCATCACCTTCACTGCCAAAGGAGCTCAAGCCCTTTCCTGGGCCTTCCACATCCGTGTTATGAATTCAGCTCACATTGCCACTGGCATTGAAGAAGGGCAGCACTGTCTTCTAAATAGAACTAACTCAAGACAGCAGAGAACTGAGATTTTCACACTTTGCTAGTCATGGTTGCTGATGGTCACCTGAACATTGAGTGGATATCTCTGCTAACATCCTAGAAGAGGAGCCCAGAGTAATACAGAAAATAGCCTCAAGCAACCGGTCCCCTCCCTTTCCCTGCAGGGAGAGCTTCTGACAGTATCCACTGCAATTAGTTCACCCACGTGCAAAAAAGTACATTAATTGCACAGCATGCCACAGGGATATCATACCCCAAGCTCTGGTGTGCAAGCATGAGCTAGCAGCCTTGGCAGCAGCACTATGCAAAGTGTGAGCAGCCAGGTTGCTCAAGCCCTCACTTAGGCTTTGGCACCTTAGCTTCCTCCAGTCACATACACTGAATCCCACTTGGCAGCTGAGGGCAAGGAGTAAGAGGAATAGCCTGCCAGCCTAGGGGCCTAGAATAATAGTTACTCATCTCTAAAAAAAGAGCAAAGCACTGAAGTCCTCAACACATTGTCAAGGGAGAGAAATGAGCACAGCACTGCCCTACATCTGGCCCTAGCTGGTATGAAGATGTGTGAAGCCCTGCAGAACACCAGAGGACCAGAGCCTACAGATTCTGCATGACATTAACGCTGAGCAAACAGAGGCTCCAGCAGCTGGCAGAGCTAGGATTACATCCAGTTTGAAAATACCAACAAGGAGCTTCCCCACAAGCCACTCCCCTTCCTAGAAAGGAGAGAGGTTGGGTGTTGTCCTGAGCTAACAGCAGAGGCACAGCAGGGACTGAAAGGGGGTTTACTCACTGTCTGTTCATTTTCCAAATTGGCCTGTTGTCTTCGGAGATCAGCCTTAATGAATGCTGGAACACAGGAATGAAGAGTGATGTGAAGGCAGTCAAGTCACCATGCAGGGCCCAAGTAAATTTCCCCAGGACTCAAAGGAGCAGCAGAAGCCCCAGAAGAGACAGAAACACATTACAATGAGCAAGATAAACCACCCTCCTGGACAAGGCTGGAACACTTATGAAACAGGCAGGATAGAGATTCTTTACTGCAGCATGTAGAAGGCGCAACTTTGAGACCCCAGCCAGAGCCAGGGAAAAAAGCCTTGGCTCTTCTTTGTAAGATAAAGCAGATACTTAAAGAGGAACAGCATTGCTGTGGGACTGCTGTGTGGGTTCTGCCCTTTCCTGCAGGCACTGTGAAGCACAGAGAGACGACTCTTCAACTAATTAAGTTGAAAAGAAGGTACATTATCACAGTGCTGGACACGTGCAGAATCATTTCCAAAGGCATGTGCAAAAAAGGCACAAGTTCCTGCTCTCTATTTATCCAAAAAGGTTTTACATACTCAAATGGTTTCCAGGACGGTTTCTATGATGCTCATTACATAAATATTAGCTCTTGCCTGGTATTATAATTAGCTGAATATCCATTACGGCTGCGCAATTGTCCTCTGCAATTGGGTTGGTGAGCTTCTGGGGAGGAAGTAAAACATCTTCCTCATGGTAAACTCTTCACCTGTGTCTAGTTGGCAGGGCTCCTTGACTTGCTGGTCACAGTCCAAACCTCCTCTCATTCTTAGAACCCAGTGGTATTTATGGCTCCTGCACTCTTACAATACTTCATATATTACCTGTCATTCCCAACCTTGTTTCAGTTATCCCCACCTGGTATCAATTAGTTTCCTTGTTAAGTTCTAATCACAGCATATGATCTTTGCTACCTACATTTCTAACTTAACCCCTTGACTCAACTGCACACAAAAACCTTCAATGAATGTGCCAAGCCCAAGGCAAAGTCAGAGCAGAAGAACACTGAAAATTTTAATTACCTGTCATAATAGTCCCCAGGAACAGGACAGAACAAAGCAAGAGGTTTCCTCCCTTTGTCCCAAAGTGATCTATGATTTGCCCTTGGCTAATGGTGAAGGCAATACCAAAAATCTACAAACAAACAAAGGTAATGTCAAGCTGTACTGCTATTATAAAGCAGCCCAAACTCTTTCCAATCTTTACCAAAGTATCAGAGCATACAGGCCAGTTAAACAGTTGGCCTAGACAGGTTAAAGTTTGATTATAAACACATCCAGAGGTACCTCCTTGCAGCTAATGCAATGACAGATGACCCTCATGGGTGGAATCTCATCTCTCACTGGAGATGAACCAAGACTGTTAAGAGCTATGTTGGAAAAGGCAAGGATGACTGGCACCCTGAAGTATTTTCTTAAACAGAATGAGTGCCACTACAGAAATGCTATGAGGAACATCATTCAAAAAGCCAGGTCCCGGGGTGCTTAGATCTGCAGTACATTACACCAATAATGGACAAGAAATAGGACTCAAGGCTTGGAACTACAATTTAATCTCTTTGCCTAAAAAGAGACAAGCAAAGGGAAAACAGCACACCTACCTGTGCTGAGACATTAAGAAGCCCTGATGATGTTCCTTCTGATTCTGGGTATGTCAACTCCGCAGCAAACTCAAAGCCCAGGGGAAGGTATCCTGTCATGAAAAACCTGTAATGAAGTACACAAAAAGGAAGACTCAGCAACTGCCAGAAGGAAGACTGAACAGGTACAGTACAGACCATAACTCTAAGCAGCATCACCCCCAGCATAGTCAAACAGCCATGCCAGCGCTTTTCACTCTTGTCCACTGATCATCTATGGGGCTGCAGGTTTCCAAAGCTTTTGGAAAGCAAGCAGGTGCTTGCTTTCCAAAAGCTTCCACTTACCTGGAGCAATTAAGCTGAGCAGGGTCACGACAATGTCCCAGACTCTAATGAAACACATACAAGTGAGAGATGGGAAGACCAGATAGGAGCCATTCAGATGCTATGGCTCTTCCCAGTCCCTCCCACAGCAGTTCTGCCTCCCTGCTTATCCCCTCCCATCACAAGCCAAGGAAAGCAGCCTGCACATGAACTTACCCCAGCAACCCAGCAGTCACAAAGACCACCCAGAGGTGGCCCAGGCTCAGAGTGAAGGTATAGACTATCATTCCCACCAGAGACATGATATAGACAACTAGTGTTGTTGACCTGCAAGAAAAAGCAAACAGGATTTTATTTAATCCAGCCCTCCTTTTTGCCCACAGATCTTAGTATAGCTTGTAGCACATGGGTAAAAAAAAGCATTTAAAAGTTGCACAGTCTTTTGGCACTCATACCCGGACAGAGGAACTAGACTGACAGCATGGAAAGACCCACACACAGAGCAGCACAGCAGAAGAAAGAACTTACCACAGGTTGACAGTTGCCTGGTCATATATGGTACATGGCACTTGAAGGGGAGAACAAGAGCCAGTTAAGATCATTAATCTTTCTTGGGCATCCTCTGCACTATTGTGAGTTGAATATATTTAATTAAAAGCAGGAGCCAAGGACATCAAGCACTCTCAAGCAGGAACATAAAGGAAAAAGGTGTCAACACTGCTAGAGTCTTATGGGCCTATATTTTTTAGTGCTGTCTGAAACAGCTTTCATTGCTGCTTCTTTCTGTTGTTTAAACCACCTGCTGTATTTGGAGAGGTGACATGCAAGCCAGGTTGCCCTCACAGCCTCACCCTCAAGCCATGAGAGCATTTAGCAGGTGCTAGTTCCACAGCCAACAGCAGCTGAATCACAAGCTCTTGTCTGGCGGCAGAGGAGACAAAGACACCCTGTGCTCAGGAAGTGTGGCAGTCAGATCCTGGGAAGAGCCACACCTGCAGCCAGGCTGTGCAAGGATCATCAGGGCACTCAGTACTGCGAGACACAGGCAGCAGCCCAGGCCAGCTTTTACCGCAACATTTAGCAATTTTCATCCTTGACTGCACACCAAGAAAACCCTATCCACATTTAAAAAAACAAGGCTCTTTCTAATACAAGAGGCAGCAGTAGGTCTTCCCAGTACATAGTTTTGAGGAGGAAAAGGAGGGAAAGGAAGAAAAGGTAAATACTTTACCTGACTGAAATTCCACCAGGATTTTGAAAGCAGAACAGTTACTAGAGTTGATAAAACCTTTTGATCATTGTCTTTTAGGAAGAAGTTACATGTATTACCACAAGCTACTTGTGTACTTTCTCCCAAATTTAAGTCTTAATCCATTAAAGAATGTGTTTGATATCAGCTCCTAGAACTCCACTGAAGAAACTAAATCTCAAACTATTTTCCTTTTTAATGGAAATGATCGCTGTCAAAAATCTAACCCAAGTAGGCAGTAAGTATTACAATGTGTAAGAAAATGTTTCCAGTACACTGAATTACTACAGATAAATCCAGTCTGTTCCAGCTAAGGTTCTGTCCTCCCTCACTGCTGCAATGACTGCAGTAAGTGGGGCTCTTGCCCATATGTCAATTCTTATACAAATATAGGCCTGAGAAGCAAATTTCAGGCTTCAGCTATTGATCCATACTTACAAGGGTCACCAGGCTCATTTAATATATTGAAAGGCTGAACAACATGCTGTGGCGAGCATGTTGTGTATTTTGTTTTGTAATTTTGTTGTGTATCAAAGGAGTAGTTAAATCCCTCAACCTCCAATGCTGTATCATTCCTAAAGTATGTTCTTTCTCAAGTTTTCATTGAAGGAAAAATTCAGCTGTGAAGGTAGCCTAAAGGGACTGTTTACTTCTGTTATAATCCATTGCAGAGAGCTGCTACATGGCTGGCACAATGCCTGGAGGCTGCAGAAGGAGAAGAGCTGAAAGACTGACTGAACAGACAAAGAGCAGTCCCAGAGAGTGAAAGAGATGCAAGTAAAAGCCTTTTTCTGCTCAATACAGGTTCCTCAGGTATGTCCCATGAGTTCTTATGCCTCCCATGCCTTGACAAGCAGCCATGGAGAAAAGAGATAATTAGGAAAGGAGCTCAAAGCTAGAATTACAGTTCTGTACTTGGGCTACATGAACCGAGTTTGAACTGGGTGCTCCTTCCATAAACAGGAGCCTCCAAACTACATAGCAGTTTATGCTAAAATACTGTGCAGGCCTCCAAGAGGTGGCTGCAGCCCTTGGTTGGAAGTTCAGTCACTGCCAGCAGGGACACTCAGCCCATGGTGAATTTTGTAATTTTTTTCTCACCACAGCCAGTTTGGACTCAGTGCAGAGGTCTCGGGATAGTCACAAAATCTCACTTAGCTTTCTAGGCTTACGGCTCAAGTATTCTAAGGTATTTGTATCTTATTCAGTGTCACGACAGTTGCCAAGCGTTGCACTTCACCCTTCATCTCCAGGCAAAGGTGAAGAATGAGACAGTGACCAGATGTGGTGAAGACTTTGTTTCACATCGATGCTATGTCATTAGTCAAGCTGCAAGAGAGGAGTTCAGTTCCCAGAACGCGCTGTGCCTGACAGAGAGTTAGAGCAGGCAGACTCATAGCTGCAGGCGAACTCCTAAAGGTGTTCTTCACTGAAACTGCAGAACTGTATAGAGGACAAAATGGAGAAAACTGATCCTGCCATGGGTACCTCATCTGCAAGTTTTCCTCACTGACCTCCCTGAATCATTAGGCTGCAGAAGGACAAAATAAGTCAACAGACCTTTGTGAAAGAACAAGGCCACAGGCTTGAGTATTGTGGGAAACACAGACCAGGAGGCACACTGAAGCCATGAACTGCTGCCTGCTCACCACAGACCCTCACAGGATCTGAACAGAGAGCAGCAAATGCAAATCTTGCTGCAGGAAGCAGCCTTAAGCACACAAGAAGACTTCTCCTACACCAGACTTCAGCAAAACCCTGCTCCCCCGAGCATACCACTGATGACAAGAAAAGGAGATTTAGTGCTCAGCAGTCCAGGAAAGACACAAAATTTTGAAGAGGGTTTAACTGAGATTCTGGTAGACACTGGTACATAGGGAAACAAAATCCCCTGGGGAAAGACACAGATGCAGAGTGCTCTCAGGAAGTGGCCTTTGACACCCTGTTCACCAGAAAACAAGAATGCTCTGTGGCCCTAGGGGCACTGGGGCATGGAAAAATGCCCAGCTTTAGCTTAATAAGCCTCTTATCATAGCCATAAATCTCATGGGAGTGAGAAAGGCACAAAGGAGGAGAAGCAGATTCACAGAGCACATCAGCACTGCATTCTGGTGTTTTTAGCAACCTACTCCCATGATGTCTCTACAGGGACTGACAATTTTCATTGTCTGGAACAGGGAACAGAGACTATCTACTTAACAGGCTGGTTAGTGCAGTGAGTACAGGCTAGAAGTTAGGCCTCCTGCCACATTACCTTAGAAAAACTGAGGTTAACCCAACCCTGCGCTCTGGGGTGTGGAAAGGAAGCATTGCTATGAAGGCACCAGTGCCAAGTCTTTGTGGCAGATCCGGAGGGAGATCTGTGAAGGACCTGACACACTTGTCACTTACATGAACCTTACCAGCCCTGACATTCATTTGCCTTCCCAGTCACATTCCCAAACCTTCTGAAGAGGCAGATAAAGAGCCCACACAAGGGACTGTGAGAAAAAAAAGATCATGGGGAAAAAAAGCCAGACAAGGGAACAGGGCTGAAATGAAGAACACATCTCCTGCTGTTCAGTCAGCTCCAGAAGAAGCCTCAGAGTAAGGAACGGGTATCGCCCAACCCAGCCTTGTCTCACAAGGTCACTCGGGTGAGGAAAGCAAAAGTGACACAACGAGACTCAGAGGGGATTGCAGCTGCAAAAACACTGAAGTCAAACAATATCTGAGGCAACAAATGAACAAGCTGGGAGCAGGAGGTGGGATGAGGGGCACAGGCACATACAACAGTTTTAGCTGCTCACAGGGATGTTGTGTGCAGCTCCAGCGTGCTCTGCTGTACAGACATGGATGACAGATGGCCTCCATAGGCTTTGCCATGAAGACAGCACATTCCAGGCTGCACACAAGCCCGAACAAAGCCCTTGATCCTATGCTCCCAGAAGATCTCATTGCTGAAGACACAGAGGTGTCAGATGCTGGAGAAAGGGATGAATTGAAGACTGCTTTGGTTTTCACCACGCCCTTATCCTTAGGCATTCAGTTTTATGCCACTTTCTTCCTGTATGAAGGTCAGAAGAAAGGACAGTCTTGGTAAATTATTTATATAAGACATATGGCAGGACAGGGTGAAGACATATCCACTACACAAGGACCAACCTTGTGTAAAACAGGCTCAAATTGCAGGTCAGGCTAGGCTGAGAGAGCACACGCCTTCTCGCTTGGAAGAAAGCCAAGTGCCCCATCCTCCACCATCTTTTCTCCCTCCCCCAAATTTTTCTATCTTGCATGTGTATAGACCTAAAACACCACTTAGGGTCTTCTGCATAGTCAATGGAGAGAGAGATGGATATTTCTGATATCTTGCCTTATAGAGATGCAGCAATGAAAGCAGAGAATGCTGACTGCAACCAGTTTGAACTGAGGCCATGTGAACACTGCACTTTAAAGAAAAGCATAACCAAAGAGAAGTGCTGATTAATTCAGTCCCCAAACACCTCATTCTGAGCCAGACTACCCTACCAACACCAATGCACCCAGCAGTCTCCAGGTGTCACAACTTCATCTGTCCTCTGAGCCAGGAACTTGATATTAAAACAATAAGGGTCTTCTCCTGATTCTATGATTCAAAGAGATGGGCTGTACTCAACAAGCCATACCACCAAAGACAACCCCAATTCTTGTACTGCTCACTCATCACTATATAACCCAGGTGTTGCTCTGTTTTTTTGAGTTCTTCTAAGCTTTCTGATGTTTACATTATTGTAACGAATTTTTTCATGGACTTTATGTAAATATGTACTCAACAAGCCATACCACCAAAGACAACCCCAATTCTTGTACTGCTCACTCATCACTATATAACCCAGGTGTTGCTCTGTTTTTTTGAGTTCTTCTAAGTTTTCTGATGTTTACATTATTGTAACAAATTTTTTCATGGACTTTATGTAAATAATTAATTGTGTTGTATTCTTTTCTGGAAGAGGAGAAATTTGATGGACTGTTGGTTTGTCCAGTGTCATTGGAGAGGTGGCACTTTCACCCTCCAATCCACTGTCACTTTTAAAAATCAATAAATGTTGGAGTCAGAATTAAACTTCCCTCTTTCTCACCTTGAAGAATACAGTATCTGCATCTTTCTATTTTGTGTCCTAGAGTAACACCCATGTATTTATTTTAATGGACTAAATTTTCACCTGCTACTCCAAAAACAAGAACAGTGCAGGGACTGCCGCAGGGACTTGCCTGCCAAATAAAAGCAAGAGTGCAAGGCCATTTGGTGCCCGAGCATGACAGATGGGGAAAGCCTGACTTAGCACAGCCTCACCCTTTCAAGGAACTGCTGATGGTACAGTAAAGACCAAACATGCATGTAGAGCTCTGCAATTCTTTCTGTTATTAACCTTCCCCTGCTCCCCGCAATCACAGCTGGATCCCATTCATTTGCTTCCCTCTCTTTACAAGCTGACTAAAAAAAGGACTTAATATCTTTCCTTCCTGATTTTCATGTGCTTACCATTTTATTCTTGACACTATCTCAGCAACAGAGGGAAGGGGGAGGGTACCCACCTAGAACATCTGGCATCTTGACAGTTTTTTTTAAATAGACTTTTAAATGGGGCTAAATAAAGACTATGTAGCACTCAGAAAAAAAAGTGCTAGTTTCACAGAAATCCATTTTGTAGGCTGTAAGGGAGAACAAATTCTTAGCAGGGTTTTTCCTTACCTAAGGCTAAAACTATCCCCCAATAGTCCGTGGGGGTCTGTAGAATAAACTCCATGGATGACATAGTCCTATTTTTCTGCACTGTTAGCCAGCTCTGCCTACCTATGCAATCCCTCCAAGGAAGGAGCAGACATGGAACAAATACAGCATTTGTGGATTTTTCTCTCTGCCATTCTCCCAGATTTCAAGTCCCAGCGCTGCATGGTAAGTCACAAGGCTCTTCAAGCCTTCATGCTGCAACCTAACCTCACTTATCAAACCAGGAAGACCATCCAGTCTAGCAGTGCCAGCTGAGGCTACCTTACCACTAGCCCTGGGCTGGAAAGAGACACAAGTCACATTGCATGGTTAGCAGTGCAGTTCCAACAGTTGTATTTCTATTTCCCAGGACTCCCATATGAGTACTACTCAGTGCCACACAACCATCTAGACACAGCAACAAACAACATGCCAGTCTCAGGAGTCCTCACCTACTGTTCTTTCTGATTAGAGAAGCCAGTTTTCTATTTCTGATCCCTGTACTTTACAGGGAGCTAGGGCCAGAGGCCACTTCAGCTAGCCAGATTAATCTGTCTACAATGGGAATGTGCATTTCTAGCCCAAGATATGAGGTAGGATAATGACAGTAGGTCTCCCCCAGATGAAAAGCTGCTGCAAGGAATAAAACACTGAAATTGCTTTCAAGTCATTACCAGCACATCACCAGTAAAGCCCCCTCTCACCTAACCTGCTCAGACAACAGGTGGTAGCACAGTTCTCAAAGCCAGCAGAGAAACCAAAGAGTTGGGTGGACCCCAGTATAAGACACAAGAGTCTCTCTGTATCACCTGGGATATCCTACAGAGGTGCTTTTCAGTGAGATCCAAATTTATGAGGACTGGGAACTGTAGAGCAAGAAAAGACACTTAACTGTCCCTTTGCAGGTGGCAAGTCATGCTGGCCAGATCTGCCTTCCCAACTCGCTGGGCAACACACACAGAATCATCCACCCATAACCCAAATAACCCTTGTGCCTGCCCTAAATACAGCAACACGCCACCAACACAATGCCTCTGGGCACTGGATTCAATGTGTCTTTCATTAAGCTGGACAAAAATATACAGAGGCTGGTTTGTAAAGGCTGACAAATGGTCTGGTACAGTCTTGATTCTGCTTGTGCCAAGAACTCTCTCATCCCTGACAAAGCAGTCACTGGGCCATCTCATCTTCTCTGTAAGCCTCCCTAGGGAACACCAATACCAGATTTTGTATGGGCCCAGTGCTGGCTAATGCACAGCTCCAAACTTCAAAACCCAGTTAGTGTAAAGTGAAGAACTCTTATTTTTTTTCCCTACAAATCCTCCCAACGATTCAGTCTCTAGAGTGCCAACTTTCAACTGCACAGGGTTCCTCCTTGCACAGTATGGAGGAAGAGCACAGTCACCAGGGCACAGGGGCAAACAAGGGACTTACTTGTAGGTTTTGGTTTTGTCCAACCAGATGCCGGAGATCAGAGCCCCAGCCATCCCCGAGAGTATAATGGTGAGTCCAATCCTGCCAGCATTCACCTCCTCCCCCTGTGGTGAGACACATACACACTCACACAAGTGCAGGAGCTAACTCATATCCAACAAAAAGCAAAGTGCAGAAAACCCAGAGAGGAAGAGACACCAAAGTTAGTCTTCACACATGCTTTCTGATGGTAACACAATAACCAGAACTAGCCTTTGCAGGAACACTTTTGGGCCCACTATGAGCCAGTGCTTTCTGGGCCATGAAAAAAAAGTGGTCTGGCAATTATGTCTGAGCCAGCCCTGAGAAAAACTGCGTGCACTGGCCAGCGAGAGCAGATACTGTCAGAGGGATTAGCACAAACTATGAAGCTTGCTGTTAGGATTTGGGCCAGATTGACCAGGAAATATTGGGACTCACTATAAGGCAGAACAGAAAGGAGCTCTGTGGCATGCAGCATCAGCAGTAAGTTGTACAATAGCTCAGGTACAGAGGCACCCCACCCTTCTGCCACCAGCAGTTGTACAATAGCTCAGGTACAGAGGCACCCCACTCTTCTGCCACCATGGCATGCCCATGAGCATGGGCAGCCTCCTGGGACAGATGTTCCAGCAGAAATCACAGTCAGAAACAAGGCATGGAAATTGCTGGAAGATTTTCTCAGAAGTAAATGCTTTCATTTACGGTGCAAAGGAGGCACCTTTTCTAGAGCTCACCAGCTTTTGCATGGGGTGGTGTAAAGGCAAAAAGGAACAGCCAACTCGTGTTGGACAACAGCAAGTATCAGAGAGGGCCATGAGGGTTGGATGCACTTACTGGGTAGTGATGGATCACCATGCGGTTCAGCAGAGTGGACAAGGCGTAGAAACAACCTACATTCACACCTGAGAAGGGATAAAAATGCAGCACATTCAGAGCCTGCTACTCTCCTGCTGGGTTGTGAAATGGTAGAAATACAGAGAGAGAAATCTTTGGGACCATCAGTCCACAACAAGGCTGCAGAGTCTCAGGAGAGTGAGCCAGACTGGCTAGACATAGGATACTGAAAGAAATGCAGACCAACATCCAGGCCTCAGCATGCAGAAGTAAGAACCCTGCAGTTTCAGGATGGTTCCTACCTAAGCAGCTGGAGGAAGGGCTGTGCACATTTCTGGTACTGAAAAGTCTTGCAACTCCTTCACGGAGTCTCAGCCCTCTGAGCAACCCTGTGAGCAGTCAGATTCATCTTTTAGCACTGCAGTTTTGTCCTCTGCTCCCAGCCAAGTCAGAAAACTAGAAAAGCATCTGCCTCAGCATCATACCTTGTACAAGGACCTGAGATTCAATTAACAACAGTGTCATTGACCTGTGTGTTTTCCTCCCAGAGAAGAGCCTGTCAGCATTCTCCCTGCTGACAGCCAGTAAATAACACTCTCTCCAAGCCAAGAAATGCCAGAAGACAAGTAGGAGCAGAGCTGATTGGTGAAGCACAGACAGCACTACCCTTAGGCACCTGGGGTGTGTGTCTGCATGGGAAAAGTCTTGCATTTTAAAAGCTATCACTGAGGCCTGAAAAAAACCTGTGAAAGTAATTGTGTTTCTGAAAGAGAACTTACATTAACTGTTACAAGGATCAACCACCTGGTGAAGGTTTCTCAGTACCACCCAAGGTGAGAATGAAACTGTTGGGGTGATACTGGTCAAGCCCTATTCAGACGCTCAGCTGCATCTTACATGCAATTCTCGTTGGTTAAATGCCTTCTCAAAAGGGCAGAAAACCCAACAGCTTTGTTCAGCAGGCAAGAACATACACATGTGCACTGGACCAGCAGTACTGCAACAGCTACACTCTCACCTTGGGTGACACTGAGAAACCTTCCCCAGGTTGATGAGGTCTGTAACAGTCAGTACAACCTTCTTCTCAGAAAGTAATTTACATTTGCAGTTGGTTTCTCTTCAAGGCTTCAGTGATTCTGATGGGCGGAGGGAAAGGGACAGATTTTACCACTGCAGCCCACACGTCTATAGGCTCCAAAAGGAGCCATGGTTTTAAAAAGTCTGGCACAGATGCCTGAACTCCTGACAAAACAGATACATGTCAAGTTCCCCCTTCCTACTTTTCCTCTCTAAGCCTCAGCTAAAAGCAGAAACTAACAACTCAGGATACAGAAGTGCAGTCTAGCAGGCAGAGCTTTGACAGAGGGAACAAAGCCCTGAGCTCTCCTAACCCTGAAGTCCCCTATCTCCCCTTAAGTACTCAGCAGTCCTGCACCTAGCCCAGTCTTCCACTCAGCACTGAATACCTGTTGCAGTACACAGCACTATGAGGAGCCACAAGATTGGCAGCTGGAGGGTGCATCACACTTCCTTCACACACCATCTCTGACAACATTACCATTTACTGTGAGGGTGGTGAGGCACTGGAACAGGCTGCCCAAAGACATTAATGAAAGTGTTTAAGGCCAGGCTGGACTGGACTCTGACTGACCAGGTCTAGGGGAAGGTGTCCTTGCACATGGCACAGGGGTTAGAACTAGATGATCTTTAAGAGCCCTCCTAATGATTCTAAACCATTCTATGATTAAGCAAAGCTCACTCTACAGCTATATGGCACAGACAACAGATGAAGACTCTTATGCAAGTGATCCCAAATACTGCCTGTGACAATGTTTCGCACTTCAAAATCCTCTGTCAGTCAGAAGGTTACAGGAGAGGCTAGCAAGTTGAGTGACATGCTCATTAGGCAGGAGAATAGACCCAATCCTTACCAAGAATTACTCAGGAAGACTGGAAACTCGAGCAGGGGCAGCAGCCAAAGATGGGGGAGAACAACTAGAGATCTCACAGCAAGGAGGCGCCCTCCAGCCTTAAAAGTATCTCTTTGCAACACCTGGCTATGGCAAAACAGCTAACACACCCTAAATCAGTTTCATACTATCTCCACCTCTGGAGCACCCCGCCCACTAGGTGACACCACAAACTGCAGTTCAAGGACACGGGAGTATGGCAGATCAGCACAGTCCTGCTTCTTCACTTCAAAGCTGGGCATAAACATTGACCACTCATTTGTGCACCTCTATTTCTCACCCAGCCAAGAGGACAGTAGCCTTGTGAAGTCAGCCAGATGCTTCTCTGGTAACTAACACTGTCAGTAAACCAACCTTACAGCATCTCTGTGATCCTTGTGATTTCCAAGACAGGGAAGGGTCCCTGATCCCAAGCTGGACAGAAGGTAAGAGCTGGCAGCAACACTTGGCACCAGAGTCAGGTAAAACATTCTAAGAATCAAGACAGTGTGTCAAATTTGCATATGTGAGGGCTGAGAAAAGTTGTAGGCATTTCATATGTCACAGTTACTCAGCTGAGAAGCTTCTCTGAGAATTACAGCTGTTTGAATGACCATGAAACAGGTAATGGTTGTTTCCAACAGGAAAGTGGCCATTTGCCCACCCAGATAAGGGAAACCAGAACTAGTAACTGGGAGCAGGACATCTGAAAGTCCAGCACCACCTAATTCTTTAGCTAGTGACCATGGTTTGCTTGTAACGTAGAATAATGCTTTTGATACCCCAGTGTCTCCTCTATTTTATAGAGGCCAGAACACAGAAGTTCATTGCCTACAGCTCCAAACAGAGCCCTTATTAAGCCTCAGACTAGAACCCAGGTCTCCCACAGGAAGGCAACCTATTACCTACATGCCAGACTCTCTCTTGTTCTCCCTTGTAATCCTCCCCAACAATGGTTCCTTATGCAGCTCTCACTGCCCTGCCTCCTCCTCTGCCACTGCCCCATCACCATTCCAAATGCTGATTCTTTAAGACTGTCTCATGAAGTCTTAAAGACTGTCCCTTCCCAGAATTTCCCACCCTTTTCCTTCCTACTGCCTCCCACTAGCAACATGCTCTCCCATGAAAAGCCCAACCCCATAGACTTGGAATTCCTTAATGCCCATTCCATGTTATGCCTCCGTTTTATGGAAGCAATGTCAGCAGCCTTGGGGAAAAGGTTTTCTGAGGGCTTTCCTGAAAAACAGTTCACGAGCACCTGACACAGCAGCAGTGACACCACTGTTTCCAGCACTGCAAGTCTTGCCACAAGAAAGGAATCATTGGCTGCTGGTAATACCAAGACCTTAGAGTTCTGCAGATGTGTTCTGACCTGTCATTGTGGAAGGATCCTCATTCTTTCTACAGCCAGGAGAGATGAAGCAGCAGGTTTACAGCTCTCTCCCCTGATACATGCTATGCTAACAAAAAAGCCGACAGGCTGCAGAAATCTTTGTGTTAGGTAGGCAGGATGACTCAGTTGCACTCATGTGGCTGCAGATGTCTTAAATCTCGGCCAACGTAACTTTTGACTTGAGTAGGAAAAACAGACACCATTTTAAACCCAGACAAGCTAAAAAAAAAAAAAGTTTCACAGCATAGTTCCCTCTCTGAGTAACAGTCACCATCTCAAGTCAAGCTGGAGATTGGCATGAGGCTGACACAGAGAGGAACAGAAAAAATGCACAGACCAGCAGCAAGAGAAAATGAATTATGAGCCACTGAACAGATTTTCCACACTTTTTGTGACTGCCAGAAAAGAATTATCCCAGGAAGGTCAGATTCTAAACATGCTCTTTGTACTGAGAGCCCTCCTCTCTCCTCTAGGACTTGTTTATGCCTATTAGAGCAAATGCTTTCCCCTTTCTTTTTCCTGAAGGGTAAGTGTGAACTGAGCAGATGACACAATCCAACTTTAGACACAGTCTGCCTGACAGATTTTTCTGTCTTCACTTTCTGAGAGGGTATTATGTACTATGGAAAAAAAAAAAAAAGCCAAACCCAGCAGCTGCAATGTAATCCAGGAGAGTTTAAGAGCAATCTGAGAGAGGCATTTCTAGAAGTCTACTGCACTGAGAAGGAAGAGAGCAGAGGTTACAACTCCAAAGACCATTAGCATCCTCAGCAAGTACAAAGCCACCATCTGACTCTCTCCAACCTGCCTACTCATCCACAAAGTCTTTCAAATACAATTGCTGGCAGAATGTGCAGAACTTTCAGCAATATTTAACTGTCCCCCTGAGAAGTTTCCATAGCAAGCTGGTAGGAAGACTGAGGACAAAACTACCCACAGACTAACTGGCTACAGTATACCCTATTATGCAGCCAGGCATAGACCACAATGGCCTTTCTGCTAGTAAGAAAAACACTTTTCCATATGCCAATTCAGCATCAGGGAATAGATTCAACACATCACACTGCCCTCAAACAGACTGAGAATGCTGAAGAGAAGCAAACAGCAAATTCAGCAGGCAAGGACAGATGACACAAGATATTCTCCAGTCCTTCCTTCCAATTGCTTCACAGGGACCGCCTAGAAAGCTGACAGAGCCTGCACATCTGCATACTCCATATTACCTCTACAGAGATGCCTCGCAGTCATGTTCAAATCCTTGCCTTTGGAAATGACTTTCACTCAGTCCTATGACTCGCACTCAGACACTCCATGTATTTCTTATGTAAGCACTTAGACTGGTTTGCTGCAATTAGCTAAATTACTAGGAAAAAAAAAAAAAAGATAAGGAAATCCCCTGAACAGCAAACAGTCAAAGATGGGGAGAACAGTTGTAGGGGCATATCATCTTCTGTGTGCTTGCCTTCCTTTTGCTCTTCCCTGCTGCATTCACTGGTAACTACTGCTGAAGAGGACTGGGCTATAAGGATTCCTGGTCTGTGGCAGCACAGGGAGCTATCTTTATGTTCCCCTAAAACAACTCAAGCCAGTTACTGCCCCTGCAGAGCACAGAGAGAAGGGAAGAAGCTGTGATTAACTGCACAAGAAGAAAGGAGGCCAGACCTTACCATAAGTGACCATAAGCAGCAAAAAGTTGGCATTGCGGAGCAGGCGGAGGATTGATTGCACGTAGGAATACTCCACAGCTGGTCTTGACTGGATCAAGGCCTGAGCTCGGCTTGGAGGGCTCGGGGGCTTCGCTTTGAAGACTGAAACCAGACACAAAGTACACCTGTTTATAATGGTGCAGCTGAGGGGCCTGAGCACACACTGTACCATTTGAGGGATGCCAGAGGGCTGTGAGAAGAAAGTGGACAAAACACACCATTTTCCTTAAGCTTTGATCTCTATGCATTAACATATCCAGGAAGAGGAAAGAACAGCTCTCTTCCAGCAGTAACTCCCGTCAACTTCCCAAGGGAAACATCTTGCCTTCAATGAGATTTTTGTGTAGGCAGTGTCCAGCAGCACCAAGAGTTCTCAGGACTATTATCAGCCTTTGTTTCTAGAAGGATGACCATCCAGGCGCAAAAGTGTTATGTGGATTTACAAATGACAAAGCGGAACTGGACAAGTGAGTTGACAAAGGTGGCCTAGTGTTCTGCAGTGGCCAGTGCCCAGGGAACAATAACCTTTGCCAGGTTTTATTTCAGGCTAAGCCATCTGCTGCCCCTTACTATCATGAAAGTAGCAGCCAGAAATCCCAGTCACAGGCAGTACTGCTGTGCTAAGCGCTAGACAGGCATTTTTGTACTTTGTCTGTTCCCTGACCCACACTATTTGAAGTCTACATCTGATTCAGCCATCAGCAACATGAACAAACTGGCGAGAGAAGCCTATCAAAAAAAATTGCATGGAATTCAGCAACTAAACTCAGCACTCCAGTGAGCATGCCAATCTTTCATGCTAAAGATCTGGCTTCAACTTCATGTGTTAAGCAGTAGAATTGCACCTCTTGTGTCCTGCTACTGTCCTTCATGCTTTTTCATCTCCACTCATAACTGGGAACAGCTTGTTCCTGTGATGCCATATAATCTGCCTCTTTCTACTCTTAAGGGGTAGGCAGGTCCCAGACATAACTCAAGGCCCAGCACCCTGTTTGTAGGGAAGATGACTACGAAAGATTTCTGTTAGTTTTTAAAGGACTTACTCATGCCTGGAATTTGTTATGCAAGCAATGGACAAAACTAACAATTTGGCAGGCTTGCTGACAACCTCCCTTTTACATGTGCTATTCATCAAGGGTTTGAAGCAGCAAGATATAGTATTGCATGAGCCTGTCAGCTGCATGGTAGGACACCTCCCCAGATGGCCTGCCCAGCCCATCTCCTGGCACACAGGCCCCTGTCACACACTGGCTGATCTCAGTCCCATCTGGTTTCACCTGCACACTCCCACCTCCTTACCTATGATGACCAGGATGAACAGGGCTGATGCCACACCTGCAGTCATGAAGAACATGATGCTGATGTGGTAGGCCAGCTTCTCCACATCCTCCACATTAGGGATCAGAACTGGAGGGACCAGAAAGCCTGCAGCGATGCCAAGCTGAGGAGAGAGAGGAGATAAATAGAGGCATGGCATGAAACCACAACAGTGCCACTACCCTACAGCTCAGTACAGGCTCAACTGACCCTAATCCAATTTCACAAGCAAGATGAAAATCTTCTTTACCACCCAACAATTAGAAGTCAGATATCCATTTCAATTAGGCCATAAGAGATGTTTCCCCACTGCCATTACAAATGTCAGGATATTCAAGGCAAGGTTTTACAACACAATTGAGCAGAATGTATACCTGGCTTCATCAAAGTGGAGGTCTTGCCTGCCCTGACGTCCCCCACAAATATATGTTCCTGTTCACACACACATCCCATTCCTTACCTTGCCCCTGCTCCAGATCTAGCCTGACCACCTGGTAATCCAATTTTGCTCATTAAAAATAGCAGAAAATAAGACCATCAAAACCAACCACAATATTTGCTGTGTTAATGAGTTGAACCAATTTATTTTCCAACCACATAAGTGCAAGGGCCGACACCCCTGACCACTCTACATAACTGAGATATTAATCTGGTTCAGCCAACTTTGGTACAGTTTCAAATGAGCAGCCTCCCAAGACAAGGCTCACCATACAACCACCAGGAGAACCTACAAGAGCATCAAGGCTGAAAGCAAAGGAAGTGTTGATGGCACATATCCTAGATGTCGAGGTTGTTTTAGTAATGGAGCTTGGCAACTGTCCCTGGAAAAACTGCTTTGGAATGTACAGAAAGCAAGGACTAAGGAAGACAAGTTCTGTGCAGCCCATAAACCTCATGGAAGCATGTCAGCACAGAGCAGGAGACCCAAGAGCCCTGTAATCCAGGCATGATCTTGGACAACCTTTCCAGGCTGTCTTCTACGAAAACCTCCTGGTGCTTTCTGCATGCTTTCTCTGACATGTCTCTGTGTTTCTGGAATGCTGATAGACTCATTCTGGAAGACTGACTTACTGGCCAAGACAAATATCTCAGAACAAATATATTTCAGTTGCCATATCTTGTAGTTAGGCTAAAAATCAGCTTGTGCCTCCCAGCCCCAGAAAATTCTCCACAAAATCCCTATTCCTCCATCCAGCTGGTGTATTTTTCAGATAGGAAGAATGCTTAGGATTCAAACAGAGCTATCTGCTGCCCTCAGGCATCATACTTAGCTTACAAACAAGTGACTTTCAACCATGTCTGGCCAAACTTCTCCTGTGTCAAACAGTACCCTCCACTGGGACCTGGAATATCCTGGGTCAGGATCAGCAACAGATATCTACACTAAATTCATTCTCTCAGACATTGCAGGGAGCTAGTGAGAAGAGCTACTGAGAGATTTCAAATGTGCCCCACCAGTTCAAGGCACTGTCAAGAATAAGAACATTTGAGGTTTGGTTACACAGACTGAAGATGAACTCAAGCTGTGCCATCCCAGATAGCCAGTCAAGGACTGAAAGAGTTTAGGAGGAAACTTAAAAGATCACTAGGAAGGTTAAAACCTTCCTAACACAGACAGACTCTGACACAGGACTAAACTTGCCAGAGCTCAGTTTTGTTCAGATATGGCCCATACGCAGCCTCTCATCACAGCAACTCAGGCTAACTCTCCTCCTCTGCACTGCCCACTGACTAAGTGCCCACTGCCCAGTGAGCACAACTAGGATGGTTTGGAGGCTTCAAGCTCTAATCTCCATAAATTGCACACCTTCCCTTCCCTACACAAGCGTGCAGCTGCACAGAAAATGTAATGGCATCAAACACAGAAGCTTACAGAGATGGCTGGTAGAGGGCAGAAGCCAGCTTGTCTCTGCAGCACATTTATTTTGCCCTCCTTGTGGCCAAGTGCAAGCCTGTACCTCTGGTGTGCCTGGACAGCCCAGGATACAGCTAGTCTGGGCTTCGCTCCTATCTCCAGAGCATTTCTAAGGATTTAACCTTTGAGGAAGAGACTCTCAATATTGCTCCTTTCCATTTGAGGGAAGAGTCCTATTGAGTCTCATATATCAGGTTTTCCATGTGCCCCCCACCCTTTCCCAAGTAAGGTTTACAAACACCTTACTGGAAACTGACCTTTTGTTTTACCACTGTTTTCTTCTCGGAAGAACTAAGCTGGATTCCTGTGCTAGGTACTTCTTGGCTTCCTTCTCTCTGCAATCACATGCTAGCCACATGAGCTGCTGCACAGCAGCAAACCAACAGGAGAGGAGAGACCCACGCTTTATTCTGACCTCTGACACAAGCTTCTCCAGGACCACAGTTGAGATTCAGTCTTTTCCAATCTCTCTCCAGCTGCTCAGTCCTGAAAAAGGATCCATCTGATATATCTAGCAGAGAAGGTATTGAGAGTCTGTTGCAAATTGTTTAGAAATCTTTTTCTGGGGGGTCCTACAGTCATCACTTACCCAATGGGTCACAGACTCACCCAGCTTTCCTGAACTACTTGCTGGCCTTTTCAGAAGGATTTTCCTGAACAACTTTTCTAACCATAAAGAGATATTGTGTGTTTTCTCTTCTCCTCCCCCAAAACGAAGCAACTTTTATCCATTAGAACTTCATTTTATCTTTCATAAGAACCAGGCAGCAGAATGGACAAAAAAAATCACAGCAATAGGAGCTACATTTTATATTTCAGAGCGACTCATGCTATTAATTCTGTGAAGATAAGGCCCTTTGACTTGACTACAACTGAAGATTTCCTGAACAACATTCACAGACCCTGGATTATTCATACCATTTTTAGCTCATGATTACTCTTTAGAGACTAGTAAAGGATAGAAGGAATGTATTCCCTACCTGAATTTTGTGAAGGACCAGTCACAACAACATGATATTCAATATTCAAGTGTGCACAAGAACAGGCAACAAAACCATGAGCAAGTAGCTAAGAAGGTGGTATAAATTATAAAAGTTTTGAAATAGAAAATGACATGTCTAAGGTTAGCTGCTAAGAGTCTCCTGAAGGAAGATAACCAGTGGTGTATCAGCAAAAAAATTGTAAATGAGTGATCAATGGAGGAGTGCAGGAGTGGACCTCCACCTCAAAGAAAACTACGAGTCAGCAACAGGAACACAGAAGCCCTGTAAAATTCCATAAATAGGTATAAATGTTGACAGAGGGGACCACCAAATACAGAAGGTCAATTAAAGTGTCAAAAGACAGAGAAATGTTGCAAAAGCAAAAAACCACAACAGTTAGAAATTTTGACAATGCCCTTGCAAGCTAAATAAGTGTCATGACAGGGATGATGCAGAGACTGCATTTTTGGATTCCATAAATACCATTTTCTGAGAAAAACTTGTAAGAGGCAGCACAATTTGTGATTTCAACCCTGAACAGCAGAGCGTGACTATGATCAGTATTAAAGAATGGTTTTGTACTGGACTAAAATTCAGCTGCCTTGCAGCAGTGACAAAAAAAAAGGAAACACCCTCCAAAACAGTACAGCAATACATAACTCACAAGAGGAAGGTGCCTAAAAGGAAAAAAGTGTGTTAAATAGAAATGAAAAAGAAAAGCCTAAGAAATTAAATGCCTTCAAGTGGCACTAGGATTGTGCAAAGACACTGAGTCAGAGGCTCACTGTAAGCCTAGAGAATATTAGTAAAATATTTTGGAATAAAGGAACCACAATTTCGTAAAAAAAAAAAAAAAAAGGACACAAAAAAACCCCCCCAACAAACAAACAAAAAACACCCCAAAAAACACCAAAGAAAAAAACAAACCACCAACAAGAACCACCCATTTCTAAAATTGGACATTATTCTTTCAAGCAAAGAAAAATGACAGCAAGCTGGACCAAGCTAAAGCAAAACCACAATTAGGCCAAAAGAGGCACCAGAACAGCTTTACAAACTAAGTCAAAACTCTTCAAACACAAAAAAAATCAGGAAACCTGACAGAAGGGTCAAAAGATGATCAGTGTGGAAGGAAAACATTCAAGAAAGAGGTCTTGAACCATCATTCATGACATGATGTGTTATAAGTAGAAGATATTACTCAATTTTTTTAAAGTAATTTCTTCTATGAGGCATCAGGACCAGCTGGTATTCATCTAGAAGTTCAAAAGAACAAGTCAACAGAAAATCCATACTACTTGCACATAAGCATATCAAATGGTCTGTTATTCAAATTGGGAATGGAGGAAGAGAAAAGTGATGCTACTTTTTAGGAGGTTCAGCATAAGCAGAAGTCCCAGGAAACCCCGAGACCAGCAACCAGCTGGTTTGGCCAAGTGGACAGAAAATGTAGCAATCAAAAGATCTATGCTTTGATAAACACCAATACAACAGGCTTTTCAGAAACCATTATTTCAATATGGTCTTAGCAAGTTCCCAAGCCAAGATGTTGAAGAGTGAGTGGGATACACTCCAGATTCCCTCTGGATTCACCCAGGGAAACTCCTTTGAGAAGATGCTTGTTCCAGAGCTCTGGGCAACACAGCATCCTCTTATACTCTTGTCTGGGTATCAAAGCTCTGTCCTAGGCCCTTCCTCCTTTTCCAACTACAGGTGCTCCTCAAACTGTAACCATGACATTTCACCAGAACAGCTGAACCTTCTGATCCTATAATTCATACATCAGGACCTGCAGAGAGCAGACAGCTTCCCCCTTCTCACACCCTGTGCCTCCCAACTGCACACTGGCTTCCCAATACTTTGCTGTCAGCATAGCTCTCAGCCACATAAAAGGCTACAGGAGAATTGAAAATGCCCAACTGAGGTGCTGTTTAAGCAGAAGCTGCCAGTTCCTACACAGTAAACTTTTCTATGAATCAGTGTCCAGAATATGCTTCTTCCCTACCACTGACAGCAAAATTAGAAGAGCCTGTTGAAATCCAGATAGTCAGGAAGCCAATGTACATTTTTGCACAGTTTACATAACTTTCTTGCAGTGTGTTAAGAAAAAATAAGGAAGTACACAAGTTGTGGAAGGAAAAATTGTAATCAAGCCTTGTGATAAGACAGGGCTTAAGCTCAATTTACTTTCTCACTAATGTGGGACACACTTTGTTTCTCCAAACCCCACTTGCACAACCAAAGCTTATCTGCAAACAAAGCAAACTCCCTTCCACATCACACTTCTGCTTCTGTGGCATCATCTCATAATGCTTAACATGGAGCAATGCTGTACCATGAAGACTGGTCACTGTGCAAGTCATTTGGGGCCTGCCAGCCTTGAAAGCACCTTCCCCCAGTCTGCTGGGAAAGAAACACAACACAGCAGAACAACAGCAGTAGACAGGAGAGAGAACAAAACAGAGGGATTTCAGCTCTGACAGCTACCTCAGCTGCTACTGGAATCCTCAGCGGGGATATGCTTTGATCCAGGACCTACTCCAGTCAACTAATACAAACAACCCTGGATATCCTGCAGGGCAAGTGCTGAGGGTGCTTGCTGGCCCTCCCATCAGAAACACTGCAGACATTAATTTAAACTCCGCTGCAGAACTTAACCCAAAAGCCAACTTCTGTGAGAGAGAAAGGGGAACTGCCTTCGGTGTATGTCTGGGAAGGGAGCACCAGATGAAATGGGTAGAAAAAGTTCATTTCAGGCTCTCATGTCTATTTATAGAAATGGAGGCATTCCTGCAAAAAGCCACATTGCTATTTGGTCAGCACGCCCTCCCACACTGAGCCACGTCGAGGATCTTGGAGAGTTAGCCATACAGCACTCCTTGAGAACCAAGAGCTCTGATCCACCCTGCCCTTTTTTTGTCAGGGAGAGAAAGGAGACAGGGCTGGAGAATGTCATCCATTAACTACTATCACTACAAGCAACTATGCCAACATTAGCTACTGCCACTAAAATCTTCTCTATTCTGATAGCTAAAGCTCTGAGAGATACAGGGCCAAGCTAGAGGGCTGTGAGACAGATCACCACCTGTCCATTTTTCTAACAGGGAATCATTCAAAGGGATGGGAATCCTCCAGCAGAGACAGAGCAGGCAAAGCAGATCTATAAGTCCACTCAAAGACAGGGACTCCACAGGACATGATACATTTCCAAAATGCTTCTTAAACTTGAAGATGCTGCCTTCCCTGAAGGGCATACGGTACAGAACAGAGTTCTAAGAGTTATCCGTGAGGCATCAAACAGCGGCACATGCTCAGCACAAACAGCACTGTAGGATCACCAGCTCAAAAGCAATGGCTATTCAGATGTTGCAGACCCATTTATATGGCAAAACCCACCTCAGCCACTACCCCAGGCAGACTCTTTCCCCCAGTTCAAAACAGATGAAAGGAACCACCAGGAGTAAGAGAGAGAACATTTCCCTGAATTTCATTCACAGCTTATCACCAGGTTTGCCCATTTCAAAAGCCATCACCTAATCACTTCAAGACTGGCACACCCAGCAGGCTGCAGAAACCACCTAAAACCTCTGCCTCCGGCTATTTCTGTTATGGAAGCCCTAAATCTCTAAAGTCACACCTCAGCTACATCAGAACAGGGACAGATCCTAAGATCAGTAAGGTGCTAAATGATTTTTTCCCTAAAGCAGAGCTTAATATAAGGCTGAAGTTTTCTTTCCTCCCAAATCACATCGCTTTTTTTCAAGCCCTGCTTAAAAAAAAAAAAAAAAAAAAGAAAAAAAAGAAAAGGCAAAATTACCCAGTTTGGATAATTTAACTGGCCCACATCACAAGCCTATCAGTGGCTTGTTTCTTTGTCAAAACATCCGACAGGCAAACTTTATTCTATACCTCCCCACAATTGAGCATCCATAACAAGGAAAAAGAATGGAAAAACACCTATCTTCCTGTTAAAACATGGAACAGTAATATGTCATGAAAACCAGCATGTAAACAAGAGAATGTGATCACGTCCACAGGTGTTCACACTGTTCCAGAAGCTCTCCAGCACTGATTCGAGTGCTCAATCTAACCTGTTTTTGCACTTCAGATACCATAGCCAACATATGGCTAGAAACAAGTGAAGTGATTCTAATACCTTACTAGGGACTGTTTTTTGTTTTTTTTTAAAGGGCATTTAACACCTGGTCTGATTGATTCAATCATTTACTCTTCAGGGCTAACTTTGAACTTGAAGGTTACCATCAGTCAGCAAGCAGAGGCAGTGTCCTGAGCAAACATGGCCCTGGCAGACTGAGGAAATGAGCCAGCAGACAGGGCTTCCCTCAGGACAGCACTGCTGAAGTGCAGCCTGGGGCCAAGAAAGAAAGAGCAGAAAGAGGGCAGGTATGGCAAAAAAAGAAGCAGTGACACTTCCCTGCTTCTTCATGCAGTTGCTTGCAATTCTTAATGGACAGGGACAACAGTGCTTGGTATTCAATAATAATAATAATTAAACTAAGTGACATGGCAAGGAAAGGAATACCATACAGTTGTAGAGAAACGAGCATAGGGAATAATTTACCATACTGCAATTACAAAACCACTGTACTATACCCTTTGCTAACACTCCCTAACACAGCCTTTTACTACAGTCAAGAAAAACGTATGCCTCTATTTTTTCCCCCTGCCCAACCTCATCAGTAAACAAAATAGCTAGTTTTCATTCACTGGAATTATGCCTGACTATGGGAATAAATAGGTCTTCCCTATGGAGTATGTCTTTAGCCACTACTATTTCTGACTTCTCTGAAAGTCTGAGCTTACAAAGCAAAGTCTATGTACTGAACTGAGGTCTCACTGTCATGTCAGTGCAACCGCCAGAGCAGCGTGGAGCACCAAAAGGGTAGCTAAAGTTTGCTTTTCATAACCATTACACTAAACCACTCCTTTTGGGATGCTGATGACTCCACACAGCACAGGCAGACAGCCTCATTGTTTGGATTTCTAATGAACACTGTTGAATAACTCCACCCAAATATTTTTTTTTAAGTCTGACAGCAAAATACTCAGTTACTTAATTTGTTCATGCCAAGTTAGATGCCTTCCACTCTAAAGATTAATTTAAAAACACATGAAAACCAGCCCACTAGAAGGGATGATGAGAGCAAAAAGGAAAGCTTAGGTGCACTCAAGTAAAGATAAGTATGTTTTCTCTTTCCTAAAGATGTAAGGCAGTCCCCTTAATTCCCTAGTGCTGTTCTGCAAACTTCTGTTCCTCAAACACCATCTCCAAGCATTCACCTCGTTTAACCTCAGCAGTATCTAAATAAATACAGAAACACAGGAAGAAGCATTAGAAGCTACCTGAATTGGAAACCATTCAAATTAGAATGGCAGTCCCTCACAGGCTGGACATGAGTGAGTGGAGCACAGAGTCCCACGCAGGGGAGTACACTGCACAGGCCCAGCAGCCAATGCCACGTTCCACTTTCCTCTTCTTTGGGTCAGGGCTGCAGAGACAGGCTCACTTCACTCATGCCTCATTGCATCAGTATTGGCTTATTCACTTCATTCTACTAAATGAGCAGGTGTTCCGGTCCAAGGGTCAAAAAGATATTTCCCTAATCCTTACAAAGCTGTGTGAAAAATTATCTCCTCTGGCTACAAGAAAAGACACTCACAGCTTGAGCAAGTGTGGGTCACTGGCCTCAGACACCTGTATTGATAAAAGAGTGCTCGGGGACCTGACCTCACGCTAGCCTGATGGAACTTTTTCTCAAAGCAACTGCTTGTGTGTACCTACTCTTAAGAGGCATGAAAGTGCTAAAGTCCTTTTCCTCCAGAGCCCAATGACAATGCTTTCAGCAGACAGCTAATCTCCTTTGTCCCATCTAGTTGTCAGCAGGAAGAAGATATCGCAGTGTCAAGTCCAGATGCAACTGCAGATTTGAAAGACACTCTGCCTGAAGCAGTTTCTCAGCACTGTGCCTTCCCCCCCAGGCCATTCATAATTCTACTGAATCACAGCCCTGGAGACTCACACACACAGGAAGTGGAGGGCACTGGAGAAGAGCCTCAGCCAAAGACCTCTCAAAGCCAGAATCATACCTAACCCCCATGCTGCCCCGAACTTTGTAGATGGAGGTCCCTCCCATTTGCCTCTGCCACCACCATCAGCCCTCAGGCTAACAGCAGTGGCACCCTTCCAAATACCAGATGCATTTTCCAGAGGGAATTTCATCTAAGTTCGTGTTATCCCTGTGGCTGCCCTTCAGGCCCTGTGCATCTCTTACCCCTCCCTGGTTTGCTCCCTCAGCACTTCCAGTGTCCGGCCGGGCAGGTGACAGCCCGCCCCACAAGCACAGCCAGCCGGGGTGCAGCTGCCCATTACCTGGTTCCCAAAGACAGCAATGGAGCAGGCGGTGGAGACCTCCTGGGAGCCAAACCAGACCGAGGCGATGCGTGAGGGCATGCCCAGGATGAAGACCTGGGCCAGGCCACAGATGACCTGTCCCAGGACAGTGACGGGGAAGAGGTGCGGCTTCAGGCTGCCCAGCTTCACCCAGGCACCCATGGCATTGAGGGCCGAGCCAGCCAGGGCGATGAGGCGCAGGCCCCTCTTGTCCAGCAGCCAGGCGACAGGGAAGAGCAGGGGGATGTAGATGAGCATGTAGCTCATGGAAAGCCAGTCGATGGCGAAGGCGCTCACGCCGTAGAAGCGCATGAAGATGTTGCTGATGCTGCCGTACTGGATCCACTGGAAGGCGTTGCACAGGGAGTAGCTGCTGAAGAGCAGCAGCACGGCCCAGCGACGCCGGGACAGCTGTACCTCGGCAGCGGCATCACCGACCCCTGCCGCCGCAGTCGACAGACTCGGCGCCCCGGCGGGCTCCTGCAACACCATGCCGGCACCGGGGGCCGCAGCCGGCCCGACTCGGTTCGGTTCGAGTTGGGTCGGGTCCCCGCCGGCACCACCTGCCCAAACACCGCGCCCGACCGCCCCGCCGCGCTCACCGGCGGCCGCCACGCGGGGAGGGGCCCCCGGCCCTCCGCTCCGCCCCCCGCGAGGCCGGGGAGGGCTCGGGCCGCCCTGGGGACACGGCGCGCCCTCGCACCGCCGGGGCTCTCACGGGGCGGCCGCCCTGCCCTGAGTGCTGCCCGTGCGCTGCCCGCCCCGCTGCTGAGGGGCCGCGACCCCCTCCCCACGGCCGCCCCCCGCCCTGCCCGGCCCCGCCGAGAGACCCCCGGCGTTACGAGGGCCGGGGCAGGAGAGGCTTCGGCCGCCAGTGAGGAGCGGGACGTGGGCTGAGCAGAACTGTGACCTGGGGAAGGCTGTGAGCGTGTGGGCAATGCCCGACGCCGCCAGAGATGCCAGGGTGGAGTCCTGGAGGAGGAACCGGTTTGGGTTTCGTTTGGGTTGGCCTCTGATGGTTTTTCTCAAACATGGCGCACTAAAGAGTGAAAATATCCAGTGAAATCAAAATTAAAACATCTCGGCGTCGCTGAAGTAAAGGAGCCAAAAGTGGTGTTTGTTTCTATTCTCATGGGGAACTCGCACTTAATGAGTCAGCGCTTGTTTTCCCATTACTTGAGCAACACGCCACTGGGAGATGCCTGCCTGGAGATCGTTTATGATCTACAGTTCATTTAATTAGCATCATATTACCTAAATTGCATAAACATTCCTCAGCACAAGGACGCAAATTTGCTGTTGTTCAGCTTTCTTCCAGCATTTAACACACAGGTCAAAATTCATTTGGAAAAATGGGAGTAGTGTCTTTTGGATGTTGTATTCCTGGAATAAAGGAATACAGAGTATGAAAAAGTGAAGTTTCTCTGGCTTGTATTTACTTGATAGCTGCATCATAATGTAGCCTTTTTACATACTTGGTGGAGCACTGTCAGAGGTTATTGCTGCTGTCCTCTGAGTTATCCACCTACTGTCAGGAGCAAAGACAGACCATCAGCTTTGATGACTTTATGTTCTTATTTACCATGAAAGAAAACAAACAAACAAAACCCCAAAACAAAAAAGCTTTGCACAAATTATTCCAAGGAGAACAAAAGTCAGTTTAAGTCAGTCTTGCTGTGTGTCCTCATAAAACTTGTTTCTTGTCACCTGCTTGGGTTTCCCAGCAGTGGCCAGAAGCAGAGCTGGAGATGAGCAGAGCCACTGCAGTCTTCCCCTTGTGCTCTGCTGAAAGTTCCACAGGGCAGAGCTGCAAGCCATGCTACTCTCCCCCTCCGCAGCCCACAGCTTTACCAATGAACCTGAGCTGGGATGCTTCTCACAATAGCACAACATAGTCATAATGTAGCCCTTTTACATAAGAAATAAGAGAGGCAAATTCAGAAGCAAAAGCCAGAAAAGAGGCTTTCAGTCCCATTTATTATGAAATTGGGCAACCAAAGTTAACTCGAAGCTATGCACCGAGACAACAGAACGAACGGAGGAACTTGGTGTAACAAGTTTGTAATCTAAATGTTATTAGGAATGCAATGAGTGATAGTGGTGGAGGTAGGGCAGAGGTGAAGTGGAGCAGGAATAAGACTATTATGGTTCAACAACTGCTTAGTCTGAGAACTCTAACAATAAAACAGTGAGATTGTACAGAAGATTAACTTCTAGGCTGATAAGATTTGAAAACATCTTTATAAAATTCTCCACAATATTATACAGAAATCAAAGTTACACAGAGGTAATCACTATCGTTGATCAAAGAGCAGTTGAAAAACAAAGTCAGGAAAAGAAATGTACAGGCAGCTTTTAAGATGGCAATCTGGGTTTGTTCAGAGGACCATCATTTATTATCTCTTTAGCACTGTAGGGAATAAAATTTGCAGATGGTTAAGACATTATTGAGTTAGTCAAGCCTAACTTAAATATGTCACCTACATGTTGTATTAAGGTTGAAATTACTATAGGACTATAGCTGTCTGTAACTGAAAGTATTATCACAGTCCATGGCAACTTTAATTTGTAAGCTCACATAAATGCAGGATAATGGAATTAGGTACTGTATGGCAGACTGCTGTTATAAGGTCTCTGGGCAGCAAAGAGGAAGATTTCAGTGAAATGTAGAAATCTAGACATCTAGAAAAATCTAGAAAATCTAGAAATCTAGAAAAATAACAAGCAGAAAAAGTATAAAGAAAACAAATTAGGAATTGAGGAGATACTGTCACACACCAGGAAGACACAGAGAACAGTTAAATTTCTTAATACGTGACTTAAAAAAGAACACACACACACAATAGACAAATTTTCAGATATATGGGAGATATAGAGACTGAGACACATGTTGGGTCCTTTGCCTCCTGCCAGCTCCACTCCAAGCTGGGGTCAAAAACAGTTTGTCATCTTGAGTTTTGTTTTTGTCCCACCTTCAGCTCCTAAATTTGTCTCAAAAATCCTTGGGTTTACTCAGTATCAACATAAGATCTGCAGGAAGTCAGAGCCTGCCAAGCAAGGAGCCATTTGCTCCCATGTCTTAGTCCTGTCAGAAAAGTTAAATGGTAAGTCAAGAATGACTAAAACACAGATTCTGCGGAAAGTAACAGCTGAAATCAGATGCATGAAAGCAGTGCCCAGCTTCTGGTGACTGCAGCCTGTCAAGTGAACATGAGCCAGGCAGAGAAGCAACACTGGCTCCTCAAAGCCAAATCAGACAAGGGTTTTTCATGCCTATAGGCCCACACTTCCTTAAACTCCTGTCCTTGGATTTCAGGGCTGTTTTGTTACTAACTCTGTGAACTACTCAATCACCCCTTTATATAATTTGCCAGTTTCTAATTATAAAATACTAAAATAAAACCCCTGTGCTTTGCATTTCCTCCTCTATTGCTGCATCTGTTTCTACTCACATGCCTCCTTCCCTTCTTGAAGCAACAGAGCAGCTGCTTTTGGATTTCCCTCATCACAGCATATTTATATAAAAATTTCTTAGCCATGAAAAATTATTTATATTTCAGGACAACCCCTTGAAGTGGATTTTAAAGCTAGAGGGAAATCTCCTTTACATGGAGATTAACAGAAGTGCTAAAAAGCTTATAGGATCCTAGAGCCAAAAGTATCTGTGAAAATTGGAATGCACTAAATCCGAGGAAGAAGCAGGACCCAAATTAAGTGTTAGAGTCCAGGCCATCAGGTGGAACCTAACCTCTGTAATCTTCCTGACTGATCTCAAGAAATCCAACACTGACAGTCTTGGAATATATGCTGCCTTTATGACCAGATAGTACATACAGTTCCTTTATGTTATGTAAAGCCTTGCAACAAGCTTGCTATTCTCAAAGTCCACCCAATAAATAAAAATGCTAGGGATGGTGACAGCAATGATAATCCAGAAGGCAACAGGCCTCAATGACAAGCAAGGTGATATGGATGGGTGAGGAAAATTGGCTTGGAGGGTGTGCAAAAGGTATTGTAGAAAATTATTCTGGAAAGTATAATTCCTTGGTGTTTTTTTCTCTCCACGCTGGTTCCGAGATCCAAGGAGTAGGTGAACAAAAGAAGAAAACTTCTAAGGAAAAGCAAATACTCAAGGATCTGCCAGATCTTACATCCATGCAGTTCTTTAGGTTCCCTTTAAATGGGAGGTATCTAACCTCAAAGGATCACAGGATGTTCCTTGCTTTCAAACTCTCAGCCTTGTTATTTGCGCCTCTAAATTTCATCATTGTGCTTACTAAGCCTAACTAGCTTACCTCTTAGGTGGCTCTATCACATTGTGACTGATAGCATTTAGGTCTAGAAAAACTGTCAGCAGACATCACACACAACTTTTCACAACAGACACAGCAGGAAAGACTACAAGATCCTTGTTAGTGGAGGGAGAAGGTTTTCTTTTGGGTTCAGCACCTAAACTGCTTTAGTGAAGTTCTTTGGAGGTTAGGTAGTTGTATCATAAGACCAAATGACAAGACTCGAATAGCTGGCAGGGCCACACATTTCGGGGTCACACCTGGATGCAGTGCTGAGCTGGAGACACATGGTGAAGCATGGGCTGCCAGGGCTGCTGCTCTGGACAAAGCCAGTGGTGTTCCCCGATGGAGCAGGGAACCCTGCAAGCCCTCTGCTGGCACCAAGAGCTTTCTGCATCCCAAGAGCTTATAAAGGCAATGGATTAGTTTATTACTGTAGTTTAGATACACAGTTATTTTGATACCTAAACCTTTGAGAATCTTTCCTGTTACATTTTCAGTGTGAAGATCTGGGTACATGAACAGTGATGGACAACTCCCTCCATAACAGTGCAGCAGGCAGCCTGTGCAGCACTCAAAATTTTGCAAAAATTACCTTCCTCTACACAAAACACAATGGCTTTGTTGCACAGTCTAAAATCTCATCTAAAGAAAACTGCAGACCTCAGAACAACCAAAGTTGTGCACGGGCTAACTTTGAGCACCAAACCTGTACTGTCCAAATATGTATGCTTTTCAAAAGTACAATTCAGGGAAGTGAAATAATGTTTTTCTCTCCTTCAGCATATTTCGTGTGTAGCTCTCAGTCTCTGGGAGCTTTGGCGAGGATGCATCATCTGTGTCTGTTTTAGAGGGCCACAAAGAGTTATGGTGATTTGTGTGGCCCTGCCAGAGGCAGGATTTTTTTCCAGTTTGACACCTTCCAGCCTGGGCTGCAAGGGCTTGCCCAAGAGCAGCTTGAATTTATCACTTCTTTGCAAATCCAAACTCCCTGTTCAAAGCCTGGCTTTAACAGAACAATGGCTTTAATTTAACCCTGTCCAGTTCAGATGTGATGTTGGTGTGGATGAATCATGTGAGTCTGAACTGTGAAGAGTAGATGGGAGGGTATGGCTGAAGTGCTAATATTCACAGCTGCCTCCTTGCAGCAAGAAAAAGATGTAGAAGGACCGTACAGGATGGAAGGGCACTTGGGCACAAGGTACCTCAAAGGTGCTGGCTTCTGGTTAGTGCACACCCCTCCAGGCACAGGGTGCTTATGCTACCTCTGCATGGCCTTCTGCAAACATACCAACTTGCTCTGCCCCATCCTCTGATCAGGCTGGATGAAAACTGGCTCTAATCTAAAAGCTGTATAGCTGTGGTTAGCCTGCTGTGCTGGTTGAGTATCTAAGCCCAGCTCTCAACCTTTGCTTGTGAAAAGCTGTGGAGATATAGACAGCTGTGAGGAAGGCTGTGCGTACGGTCTGTTATTGGAGCAAATGCATCTCACTCCTCTGCTGTGCACCAGGCATGCACATGAGATATGATTCTCTTTGTTCAGCTTAGAATAAAAGAAGTGAAAAAAGATCGAGTTAGCCTCAAAACTCAGTCATTGTCTAGATTTCCACACCCAGTCCAGATCAGGATCACAGATTAACCCCAAATACCAAAGCTTGAAGTATATAAGCCCTTCTTACTCATCCAGCCTCCAGCCTCCACCTCAGTAGGTCATACCAGTTCATGGCAATGACATGAGGAAAAGATTTTAATCTTCTGTTGCTATTGCTTGCAGCTGACATTAATTAACAGAGTGCTGGAAATGTGCATAGCCTCACTGCTGAACTCAGGCATGTCCCCTTTCTTCCTCCCACTCACACTGCAGCAAAAAAAAACAAACCTGGGAAAAGTTCTGAGGACCACGGCACCAAACCATCGCTGTTGTGAGAGGAGAAAAGTTGATTGTGTCTCAGCAAAAAGCACAGAAGTGGTACAAGAGTTGGGAGGTACAAGAGTTGGGGGGAAGGTGTGTTGTCACCGCGTGGATGTTTCTGAGGCAGGAGAACTCTCAGGAGCTGATGTCTGCTGAAAAATTATAGTCTCATATTCTCACCTTAACACACTGATTGTAGCCCTGCCCTGGCAAGCAATGAATATATGCTCCCTAACATTTAGTTGGGTAGGGTTTTTGAGTAACATAAAAAAAAAAAAAAAAAAAAAAAAAAAAAAAAAAAAAAAAAAAAAAAAAAAAAACAACAACCATGGATACATATAACTCTGCCTCACTGCTCAAATCTCCTCCAGATGAACAACCAATAAGGTGGCAAAAACAGCAGAACACAAAGTGAGCACAGGATTTTTCAGTCAGATAAACTCTTTCCTTTTCATGCCATGCCTTGGTTTTTCTCTTCTTGACAGCTTGTGGTTTATAAAAATACTTTGTCTCTTAGCAGTGATTCCTGATCTTCTTTGATCTCTGTGTGCTGAAGTATTAGCATCCAGGCAGCATTTTTGTATGACTAGTGCTGCTTTGTTCACTGTGATCATTGCAGGAAGCAGAGGGAGGGTCTCTTCTGTCGGCTGCACGGTTCAGCACGCAGGAGGTTATCCTATTGCTGATGCAAGCTGGCAGCTCTACCAGAAATGAATTCTGAGATGGGATTTGTGAAACAAGTGCATAAGTACTTTGCAGGCACAGCGAAATGGGAGCAGAGCTGCTCAGTGTGTCCCTTGCCGAAGCGGCTGCGGCGGGAGGCCGGCAGGCGCGGGCTGGGAGCGCTCCGCCTTCGCCCGGCAGAGGCCAGCACACACGCGGCCATCCGCGGGCTCTGCTGGCAGGGCTCAGCTGCCTCTCTCCTGCCCGGCCTTCCCCGGCTGGAAAAGTCTCTCAGCCTCCTGTGAGCCCTCGTTTATGTTCTGCTTTGAGAGAGGTTTTCAGTGAGGAGCTCTGTAGCACAGCAGAAAGGCCCTGCTAGGGCAGGGACAGGCTTCCACAGGCCCGGACATCACCCGGTTTATCCAGTTGTGTGCCCAGAAGCGTCCCCTTCCCTTGGAGCAGCCAGCACCTCAGTGCTCCTGAAGGCTGGGCATGGCCAGATAACGCACACAACACTTGCGAAATGCCAGATGCCAAGGAAATGAAAATTACAGGAATTGCATTGCTGGGAGGAGCAGACAATCGAAGGCAATCGGCAGTGATTGCCCTGGCCACCTCCCTGCACCTTGCTCCTCCTTTAGGCTCATTTGCAGTTCATTTGCGGACCACAGTGAGGGCCACACCAGAGGACAGGCACATCGCTACTCAGAAATGAACAGCAGGATGGGTGAGGAGCCTTGAGGAGAGACCGGGAGCGAGGGAAGGAGAAGCAAGAGACAGCACCAGTACAGAAGTGAAGGGATCTCCTCACACAGCTGGAGCAAGCAGTTTGTGCAGCTCTGTAAATAGCCTTAGGAAAAGACATTTTTTCCCTACACTGTTTGAAAGGGCAGAAAGGGTATGTTGTCCCTTGCTGCTTGGTAGATAAGGAGATTCTCCCAAGAAAGCCATTCTTTATAACTAAGCGAGACTGCCTCCCAGATACCTCACAATCACAGAAGAAAGCAGAGGTCAAAACCGGCTTGAACCATGCAGATCATGTTTTGTGATCAGTTTTTTGCGAGCAAGACTGGGGCAAAGCTGAGTCAGATTGGAAGATGTGTCTCCTAGGAGCAGCAAACACCAGCAATGGCTTGGTTTGGCCAGAATGGCTGAGTGTAACACAGGTAGGAGGCCTTCCAGCCCACAGTCAGCCCTGCAGAGGGAGGACACATTGACTGACGATGCCAAGAATATTGTTTAGGTTTTGGAGAGGATGTTGTTGCAAACCCGTCTCCCAGTCTCATCACTGCTGCTTATTTTCGTTCTGAGTTGCAGTAATATGTCTGAGATGTTACCAATGACTGGGTCTAGCAATTCTGTGGGCATTACACAGAACCCCACCCAGCCTGAAGGATCTTCAGCAGCTTTGCAGCAGAAATATTGGCTCTGTATCTGTGTGGGCATAGGTCACATATACACGACAGTAGGACCTTCTCCATCTGCAGCTAAAACAAAGCTTAGTATTTTATAGCCAGGAGAAAATACAAAGGTTGCAGCAAGGATGGAGATCTCTCATGTATGCAACTCTGCAAGCTTCAGTGGGACTCTCTTGCATCCTCCAGTGAAGAGCATGAGCCTGCAGTGCCCTACGTGGCAAACCCTAATCAAGGTAGCAGTAGCTTTTTTCTCTGACTGTAAACAATCATGGGAGCATCAGAACCCTAAGGAACAGCAAAAATGAAAGTGAAAAATCTGGGAGAAAATCCACCAGAAGCTCAAGGAGCAGAAGCAGAGCCTGTAAAGACAAGCTCATCTAGAGCTGGAGTCAGTTGTCTCTCTCAGGCTTAAAGGGACAAATTTCAGAGAAAAGCACCTTGGGAAGAGCCTGTATAGCCTGACTGGCTCAAAGCATGGCCTATGCAAGGAATCAGCAGCTGTTTGTTGAACTAATGGTTAGAGTGAAGCCTGTTGGTGTCAGATCCAGCAGAGAGGGGTGGCATAAGACACAATGAAATTGTTCCTGTAGATGTATTCTGCATGTCTTATATGCAGAAACCCAGCTCCTGGCTGGAATAACTATCATTATTCCCTATGTCCTTCCCTAAATGTGCTCATCCCTCATCCCAGAGCTACACAGACAGGGAGGGCCAGTGCAATCACCCATTGCCTCAGCACTGCTTTTGTAGGTGGCCAGGCCAATGTGCTGACACCAGGCATCTCTGACCACGGTGCTTCCCATGCTGGCACAGAAACTGGAAACAGGAGGCTCACCAACCTCGGAGCAGACCATGGCAGGAGACATCACAGTGTTACCTGCACCTGTCCTGAGGACAGCTTGCTGAGACAGTATTTGGTTATCATCTTGCTAGTGCAAATCAGAGAGAAAATGTGCATAACACAGCACATTATGGACTTTACCCAATCATTCTTGAGGGCTATGATGATGGGCCAAAACCTATCTGGAAATAGGCTGCTTCTCTGTGCCTGCAAGAAGGATATCTACAAATTTGGTCTATTTCCCTCATTTAAAAGCCTACCTCAGCAGCACTGCTTGTGGTACTCTATGCTGAAAAGATTGCAGCTGATGCTCCTTGAAAATGGCAGCAGTCCTGAGCCACTGTTAGCAATGGAACCCCTGGCAGGTGGGCTTCAGCCTTGTGTACAGAGTGGGCTGATAAGTGTGCTGCTGGCTGGTGTGAGGTAAGGTGCAGAGACTGCCTGTATGGACTGACTTGTGTTTCCAATACATCAGACTCAGAAGTACTCATCTATTCCTCTCTGACCTTTCAGGTTTCATCTGTTTCAATGCATGAGATAGTGCAGCAGCCTTTTGTGGAGCTGTGACTGATGGGCAAGGGGAAAGAATGTAGGCTGCAGCTACATGCTTTAGTAGGGTACCTTGGAGCATGAGTCCTGCTGGGTCCTGCTTCTCCTGTGCACTCCATGCCATGATGCTCCTTCCCAGCTGCGTGGCTGGCCAAACTGAAGGCTCCACCAGCCCAGCAAGGCCTGTGAGCTGACACAACATGGCAGTGCACCTCCACTCAGCCAAGGAAGCATGTGGAGTTATTGCCACCAGCAGGAGGGAGCCGAGAGGGTCAGCAGGGAAGGGACCTGTGATACTACGTGGCATGTCACACTCTTTAGCCAGATCAAGCCCTGCAGCAAAGAGGGACCCATCCTCCCCAGGGACCTCATCACCCCACAAACCATTGCTCCTCAGCCTGCCCAGCCTACGTGCATGGGCTCCCCTTCTAAAAGCGGGGTTCTGGTTCCTGGCCCTGGATTAGACTCCAGTGCATGCAGGACTGTTTTCTGGGATACAAGTTCTCCCATCCTGCTGCCTGTGTCTTCACTGCATCACACCAGGCCTTAGGAGTGACTCAAATCCTATTTTGGAAACAAAGAGTTAAGCATTTTCAATCTTTATTTTACAAAAATAAACCAGTTTTGCCCTGACACTCTGTGGCCCCCAACCTTCCCCTCCAGCCCTGCTCCCCTTCCTGTTCCTGGAGGTCTGGCTGTTGCGTGCCACAGCCAGCTGCTCTTGTGGAGGTTGCTGGTGCCGCACACTCCTGTGAGTCTCCCAAACAAGGACCAGAGAAGGGGGATGGTGCCCTTTTGTGACTGCCTCTTCCTCCCAGAATCCAAGCTGGAAACTGTCCAAAGATGCCTTATGGTGGCTCTGCCATTTCTGCACAGGGAGCAAGTCTTAGGCAAATCAGTCAGAATACATACTTTAAGAAGGAATGTCCATCTGTCCAATTCCTTCCCTTGGATGGGAAAGCAAGCCCCACAAAGTTACTTCTTGCCATCAGTGGAGCTGGCAGGCTGCTGTCCTGCTGGCTGGCTCAGTGCTGGAAGCGTGGGGAGCTAATGTGGGGCTGGTGAAAAGAGTGTGTGGCATAAAGCACTTCTGGAGGCGGTGGAGGGGATGTCAGGATGGAGCACAGCGGTTCATGGGAGCTCAGCATCGAGGTGAAGTGCTTCATTTCCTCTGTCAGCTGCTTGATCTCCCGGCGCAGGGCAGCATTCTGTCTCTCCAAGTCTTCACTCTCCTGAGGAGACAAAACCACAGGGGCTTCCTCAGCATGGGACCCACAGGGATGAGCTAGGGACATGAGGGTTGTGGTCCTTCACCTCTCTGGCCCACAGAATTTCCAGAACGATTTATTTCTGGTAAATTCATCACAGAGCCACGCCTGGGCAAACCCTCCTCCCCCAGCTGGCCATGCCGGGTGTGGGTGCGATGCCGGCAGCCCCAGCCACGCTCCCCGGCCCCGGCTTACGGCTTACGAGAAGTGACTGTGGCTTGCTCCCGCCCAGGCTTTCTCGCTCCCTCTCATGCACACACACATCTCCGGGCGCTTCCCGGGCAGCCCAGCCCCCGGGGGAGAGCACGTTGAATAACCGCCGTCTTTAACCAGAAAACCACCTGCCACAGGAAACCTGTCATGGCCCTGGAAAGAAGAGACTCACTGCTTCCTGCTAGCAGCCGAGGAAAGCAGCGGCGCGATGGGGAGGAAGGGGAGACGCTTGAGTCAGAAGAAAAGAGAAACTAAGGCCTCAGAAGAACTGAATTACTACTGGTATGAATGAGAATAACAACAAAGGGGTTAATAATGATGCTCAGCCTTTGTCACAAAATACTGAGAGCATCAAAGCCTTTGATACCTCTGCTTCTGCTGAAGTGCAGCCAGCTCCAGGCTGAAGCATTGCAGGTATCAACTGACCATGGAGCCAGCAGCCTGGGCAGGACCAGAGGATTGGACACTCAGCTGAGAGCGCTAAAGCAAGACCCAGCACTTGGAGGCTCTGGAAAGCTGCACCATCACCTTGGCAAAGCAAACCTTCTGCTTGCCCCTCCACTGCCATCCTGATTCCAGGTGGTGCCCACTCTGTGCACAGGTTGAAATGCACCCAGCAATTACAGCTGCTCTCACAGCAGGGGCTCACACAGCAAACAGCATCTCTCAGGCCTGACCAAATGGATTGGAAATGATGACTGTTGTTGAACTCAGGAACTGGTGGGAATCACCCAGGAGTCCCAGCTTTCCTATGACTCATTCCCCTCAAAACACAAGCTAGAAAACCCTGGGGCAGATGGAGCTGGTGGCTCCTTTCAAACCACCATACCTCAAAAGGAGCCATGCTTTTCTGTGAAGAACCACATCAGAGAAACAAAGTCTATGATGCAGAATTGACCAAAGGCAATGAGTGCTCAGGGAATGAACCCATGAGCAGCAGGGGGTCATTGTCCACTGGAATTGAAAAAAAACTAGCAGAAATTTACCATCCATCATCTGCTTGCCTCCCTGCATTTTTTCATCTGCCTGTCAGGATCCCAACTGGACTTAGCCCCACTGCCCCATCCCAATGGGAAGGTAAGTGCTATCAATGGTAGCTGAGCAACAGTAATCTCATAAACAAGTGCTCTAAGAAAAGCAGCCCAATCCTGTTTGGTGCACAGCTAGGCAGGATTTTCCTGGAGGAAGCTCAGAGCCCATACCTACCTCTAGGATTACTGTAGAGAGAGCACTGACCCCAAGGAAAGGATATTTTCTCACCTCTCTCAGATACAGCTGCCCAGAGCCATTGCTGCTGGCTGATGTAATGCAATCAGCCTAGAGCCATGTCAGCTCGAGAAGGTTCATCAGCTGCTGAGAAAAGAGTGAAATCTCTCCCTTAAACCTAGCTCCAACCATGGACTAAGGGCACTATGTAAGGAGGAAGGGTCAGAACTGGATTCTCAATAATTATTTCCAATAATAGGAATATAGAGACTGCTAAATCAAAGGATGTTTTTTCAAACATGAGATCAGCTATCACTTTCCAAAAAACAGCCAAGCCCAGCACAGGGATAAAGATGGTTTCTGCCCCTCCAAGCTGCATGTTCTTCATCCTTCTCATGAGTGGCCCAAAATACATGGGACACCCTTATCAATGTGCAAAATGCAGAGCATCCCAGCCCTTATACTCCAACACTGACCACATACTCCTCCCAAAAACACACGGGCAGGAAGTGACCTCCTGAAAGGCAGATATCTAATTCTTCACACTGGGAAGAGCTGTTGGACTTTTCTGTGGCACAGAAAAGTATCTTTGTATGCTGTTGCACCTTTGCATAAGTGGTAGCATGAATCTCAAACCTGGGAAGAGCCAAGCCATGTGAGACTATGCTTTCAAAGAGCTCAGTCAGAAGAGGTTGGGAAAGGAAATCACTAATGAAAGACTGAGAGATAAAGATGGATTCAAAACTAGCTGCAAAACTAAACACTTCAGTGGCAGTCATCCTGGGCTGTGTGCTCTCACTGCAAGTGCTGACTCCTGCATCCTGCCCTGGCCTCACTTCTCCTGTCCTGCCTCCACTGAGCACCTCTGCTCCAGGTCCCAGGGGAAAAGCACAGTTGGCTCGTATGAGTCCTCAGCACCAGGGATGAGAAAGGGTGGAAGTGCTCACCAAGTGCAGTGTGTCTGCTTTCTGAGTCTGCCTCAGGCGGCTCTTCTGGGCAGCAATGCGATTCTTCTCCCTCCTTTGGACTTTCCTCATGTCATCTGAAGAGTCCTAGGGAAACAAGGCATGGAAATGACTGGGTAATTCTCTCCCTCGCCCTCCTCCTGCAGGGCTGTAGTTGGGAAAGGGACATAGCAGATAACATCGTTGAAGCTCAGGACACACGCTCCACACCAGTATAAAGCTGTAGCCCAGGGGATGTGTGATGCTTTTAGTACCCTTCTTTCCAGGAGGGGCACATCTGACATCCTTGGGGATCCCAGCACAGCTGGGAAATGACCACTCTTTCTTCACCAACACACTGGCCTGGGATATAGTTTGATGGACCAGAGTAAGGAGCTCCCTCTGGAAAAAAGACAATTTTAATTGTTCTACAGAAAACCATTTCCTTTCCTGTCTCTCTGCAGGGCAATGGCACTGCAGACATTCCAGCTCCCTGGATATATCATTTTTCCAGACATTCAGCCTGTATTTTCCTCTTTTCACCCCTGTTAGTCCCTCCCTTCTCCATCACCTTCTGTCTCAGGCTTTATTTGTTGCAGACCCTCACAACACAATACGGCCCCTGCTTTGTTTAACTAGACAGACTCAGCTTTTTTTTTAAACACAGATCTTATCTGCTCCACCTCTCTTATCTCTGTCCTTGCTCTTTTCTGGAGTCCCCTCTTAGCAATGCCTGTAGTGCTACCTGCAACAGTCCTAAGCCCCTTAGGCAGGGGAGAACAGAGGTCTCCAGGCTTCAGATCATGAGCTTCATGCACCAGCCATTCTCTGCTGAGATCTGGTCCTTCTGCTGCCTTCTGACAGTTGAAACTGTCACACAGACTTTCGTCTTCTATTTTCATATTGCACTGCCCCTCTTGTGGACTCCTTAACATTCACATCACCACTTCTCCACAAGACTACAAAACTCAGCCACAAAAGTTATCTTCCCAGCCCATTTATCTGTCCACATCCTCTCCCCCCTCCCCCAAACCCAATACATTTTTCTTTGAACCTAACCGTTTTATCCTTGCCTTCAATACCCTGAAAATGTCTCAGATACAGCAGCTCCCACATGCTGCATCAAGTCCAGTCCCTATCCTTTGGAAAACCTTGTGCTTTATCCCTGTCTTTTCCAGGATGAAAGCCAAGATGCATTCCCATCCTTGTTTGGAAGCCAAAAATCATCTGCCTTGATGAACCCCAAGATTTCTGAGCAAAGTCTCAGGCACTTGCTCTTGTTGCCAGCCCTAGAGAAATGGCAAATGACAGATAAAATAAAGTTTAGCCAGAAAAGGCAGTGAGAATACCTCAGACTTGTGTCTGTATCTGCCAGCAAAAGACCTACCATTACGGTATGCCATGCAACAAAACAAAATCCCTCTGTGAAGCATCACAGATATGAAACACTACTGAGGCTAAACACTAAAGATAGCAGATCCAAATTAGCAGGGCTTTTCTGGGTCCGGAGTGCTGTCCACAGAAGCAGGAAGCAGGCAGGTTGCCCCTGAGCTGCCCTGGTCCACGGTCAGGAGGTGCCTGCTCAGGCTCCTCACCAGAGCACCAAGTCACACCAAAACTTCCTGCCTGCCTGGCATGTATCACAGGATCCACCATGCCTGGGGGTCCTGGACCCCCAGCTGCCCCTGCAATAGCCCTGGGGAGCCAGGTCATCTCTCTCTGCCCATACCCAGCTCAGTGGCTGGAGCTTCTGCCAGGGCCCTTGGCTGAACCCTGCATCTCTCTCCCTACAACCATTCTTAGAAAGCTCTGCCATATTGCACTGTGAAAATGCAGACAGTGGGTGCCACCCTACTTCCTGCCCACCCGTGCCCACCCTGAAATAGCTGGGGAGAGCTGGGGAAGAGCCCCGGCTTTACCTGCTTGCTGGGAGGGGGAGACTGGCTGAAGCTGCTGGAATCACTGCTGTCAGAGCTGTGGGGCATGGCTGCTGTTCCTGGCTCCCAGGGTCTCTTCAGCTTCCTTCGTGCTCTTGGTGCGCCTGCTTTCTGTCTTGCTTCTCTGCCTCTCCTCTGTCCTCCTCTGTCACCTCTGATGTGGTCCTTGGCTTCCTACTCTCACCTGTCCCAGAAGCTCTCTGTCCTCCTGCCCAGCACTCCGACACTTTCGCTGCCTCTCCTCTCAGAGCCTCTGCACCTTCCCTTTAGGTCTCAGCCTCCTGTGGTTTCTCAGAACCTCAGGGATGTAAGCTGAAAGTCACGTGGCCGGAAACTTTAAGGCAAAGAAGTAAAGTTACAGAAGAAGAAAAATTTTTTTAAAACCAATTGAAAAGAAAAAAAAAAAAGAAGAAGAAAAAAAAGCACATCTGGGAAAAACGAGCTTCAAAATAGCCTGAAAAACCCCCGAAAAACACCTTCAGGCAGTTGAAAAACAACGTGATGGGTTTTCTCTGAGACAAACAGCAGAGATGGAAAGGAAGAAAAGCCCCAGCTCTGGCTGTGAAACTTGGACCCTCAAAGGAGGGCTGTGCGGAGGAGGTGACACTGGGAGCCCCAGAAATTCCAGGGGTACTGTGTCCCATGCTAACCCTATGCAGGCACAATGTCAGTCCAGCTCCAGGCAACCTCAGTCACCCCAGCACAGCTGAGGAAATTCCCAAGCAGCCACAGATCTCCCCAGAACCCACCCACCCCCTCCTGCCGCCCCCGACACCACTGACGCGGGTCCCGGGGAGGGGATGGGTACCCTCAGCAGCTGCCACATAAACACTGCTCTTGCAGGTGGTTCATGTGGGCATGAGGTAGCACCAGTCCCATTTAAGAAGAAAGGGTCAGGATCCCAGAATATTTGGACTGGGTTGGGTAGGACTAGTATTTTCTATAAAGCAAAGCTATTTAGCACTTTAAAACATTCATTCATATGTCACCACTGGGCATAAGGGAATAGCAGCCCTGGCAGACAAAGTGCTGTAAATATAAAAATCTATGGATCAGTCCATGCAGACAGCAGCAAGGAAAAGCTGCTTTGGATCGCCTTCTTTGTCCCCCAGTCTGTGCTCTCTGGGACTACTTCTACGCTTAGTATGAGCCTCAGAAGACTAAAAATGTGCAGTCAGCCCCTAGGACAGCAGTGCTTCAGGGGTACCTCAGAATACCCCATGCTAGTGGCTCTGGAGGTGACAGTGCAGGAGTAGGAAGTGCCAAAGCAGGGACCATTTGCTTTCTGATCTGCTTATGTCACCAGATCCAGCAGGGCGAGCCAGGGCCACATGCCAGCAGGCTCTCCTTCCACAGACAGAAGCACACAACTTCGGAGCTGCTAAGTTCTTGCATGTGCAATAAGGAGCAGATCTAGAAACAGGCATGAACCCATCTACAATAACCCACTCCTGCGGAAAACAGCAATTCCCAGTTCCCAGCTTACTGGTTTTTTGTTGTCTGTAGGCCTCTTAGTTCAGTTTCTCCTGCCTCAGGCAGGAACAGCTAGCAAGCCTCAGCAGCAGGACATAGGTAAGAGCACTTGAGATGCAGTCATCATTTGGGAAAGAGTATTGGAAATAATTTCTGTATTGCAGCACAGAAAACACACTTCCAGAGAAGCATGTGCTTGGAAGACAGTGCAGACTTGCATGGGCACTGCTAGCATTTCTTCCCATCCTTGCCAGTCATGGAGCCAACACAGGAGCAAACATGGCCAAAACCAAGAACTGCTGCAGGCTGGGTGGCTCAGGGAAATCTCCTGATTTAGCTCCAATAGTGAAACTACTCCATTTGATCATTTTCCCTTTTTAGAAACATCCTGTGGCACTCTTATCCCTTTTATCTGAACATTTCACAGCACTGAGTGTATTTTTCCTCCTGGAGTGCTGTATGGAAATGCTAGGATCCACCACACTTTTTAACATGGCTGCAAGGATTTGCTTGGCATGACCCACACTGAGAGACCCAATTTCCTGGAAGCACAGCCCCCCTGTAGCACACAGGGCTCTTCTGGTGCAGCTGGCTCCAGAAATGGAGTAGCCAAAGGGATCAGTGAGGTGAGAGGTGCTGAGTTCAGGCCTCCCAAGGCAGTGGCTAGCAGCACAACCCTTGAAGGATCCATTAGCCCGCTGCATCACTACACTTCCTCTGAACTCTGCAACCCTGTGCAGCACTTCCTTTCCAGGAAGCACACTGCTGGATTCCCACTTTCCTGAGGAAACCACACTCCTCTGCTGGTGAGCAGGTCTCAGAGACTGCCTGGCCTGTCCTGCTCTGCAGGCTGCTGGATGGAGTGAGCTCCTTCCTCAGAGAAAAATATCCTTGTTCCATTATTTGACAAATTACCTGAACTCCTTCCTTCTGAACCTAGCAGGGCCAGCATCTGGGAGGCAGCTGGGAAGGTGGTGGGGCTGTTGGCAGAAGGTAGTGAGGGAAGCTGAGTGTCCTGGCAGGAGCTGGGCAGTCAGTGCAAAACTGTCCAGAATGTGGCTATGGCAAAGGCTGTTCTTTGATCCACAGAAGGAAGGCTTTGAGTGCACTTTGATTTGCCCAGATCTCGACTTTTATTAACAGCTGATGAAGATACCTCAGGAGAGAGCAACAGCATGGGAGAGGGTCTGTACACTTGGTCTTTCTGAGCAGGAATAAGAGAGCATCCCTTTCCTTGCCTTGTCCAAACATACTCTTTTCTCTTGAACTGGCCATGATGTTAATGAACTCCTGCCACTTATGAGCAAATAAGCATCTGTAAGTGAGACAAGTGTCTCCTGGTGGGAAGATGGGCAGAACTTCACAGTGCTTCTCTGGGCTGGGCTGGACCCATGTTGTCTCCTCACAGGCAGAGAGAGCCCCCTGCCATTTCTCTGGTCAGAGATGTGATTGCCCAACCCAGAGCAGCAGAAACCACCAGTATGGCTCCACCAGCATCTGCTCACAGCTTTGTGGGACTGACCTGGGCACCTGCTGCAGGCACAACATGGGGAGCTGATTTCCTATGGCCCCTGCCCAGGCTCTCTGCCTCTATGAGGGGGAGCTTCAGGAGTCAGTCTCCTAATGTCTGTGTGTGACTTAGGTGACTAAATTTACACTGTGAATAAAATTCTCTGACTTTCTCTCTGGGATCATTTAGTTTTCTTTGATCTTAATCGCAGTAGCTGTGAAATCACTGTCAGTGGCACTGGAAAAACTCACCAGTGTTAGGCTACTGCCATACCAGCAGCTTGATGGGAGAAAGGATGGTTCCAGAGGTTTTTAGGGGAAGGACACGACCAACCTTGTACTTGTCCCTTGTAAATTACAGCAGGCAGTGCCGAAGGGAGTCTCGTTCTCCCAGGACAGAGTGGCTGCAGGGACTCGGGAGCCTGGGCTCAGTGTGATCTTGACTGCAGAGAAATGGTTTGAAAGCAGCAAGATGCAGTTCAGCAAGAACAAATGCAAATGTAAAGTGAAGCGAGCTGTAGGTAGAAGATCTGGGGAATAACCCATGGGGAGCAGAATAGGAGGCAAAAATCCAGGGGTTGCAGAGCACTGAAAACTGAAGCTTTGCCAGCAGCAAAGGGGTCAGGTATTGACTTGGGGTTCTGGGCAGGGCAGAGGAGATGACTGCCTTGTGCTGCCTGTGAGGACCCTTTCAGAGTCCCACGCCAAGTGGAGTAGTCTGGAAGGAAATACAAAGGATAAACACACAAACATATTGCCCTAAGGAGTGAAGAAGTGCCCATTTAGCCTAGAGAAGAGAAGTCTTGGGGGTGGGAAATGGGTGGTGAGGAAGGAACAGTCTTTCACATGTTGTAATGAAAAGGGTGGCCAGCTGGTTTCTGTGCAGCCAAAGAGGGGTAAGAAGCAACAGGCTCCAACTGCAGCAGGAAGGGTGGAGGTCTGATATTCGAAGCAAGATGAGGTTAGGAAGACCTTGGAATGGGCAATTCAGGACAGTTATTCAAGCCCCTTTATATGAAGCGGCTGGGAAGAAACCTCTCTCAAAAGAAATCCAAGTTGAATCCTGCCTCTGTGGGATGGATTATGTTATGAGTTATATTCCCAGGGTTTAAATAAGGAAAAAGAAAAAAAAAAAAAAAGAAAAAAGGGGAGGGGAAAAAAGTGTGCTAGTAGGATGGGTTCCTCAGAACCAAGAGAGCACATGGGGTATTTTTCAACCAGCTTTGCTTCAAAGCCTCTTTCCCTATGTCCCCCTTGTGCAACCAGCTTCCTCAGCACAGGTGAGTGCTGGGGTTTCCTTGTAAACCTGCTGCTTCAGAGCTCTTGCCTGCACCAGGCTTATGACAGCAACATTCAAAACAGCATCTCAGCCCATCCACCTCACTCATCTCATTTGCACGGCCATTCAGTGCATAGTGCTATTTAAAAATCCAGCCTAGAGCAGTTACCAACTTCAGCCTCCTGTAAACCACCAAGGTTGTTTCTGCTTCACATGTAGCATTTTATGCAAATAATTTCTTACAATATTTGGACAACTGCAATGACTTCTTTGTAATTCTTCACATGAGTTTGAAGACTCTTGCAGAAATCAGTGCTGAGAATGGCTGTGTTGAACAAAGTCTCTGCTCTCTACCAGATGCTTCTGCCATATCCCGCTCTGCCAGCACCTGTTGTGCAGCTTCCCCAGTCTCTGTCACAGGGCTATTTCATCTTGACTGAGCTGAATGTGAGAGTGAGGTTGTGCCAGGAGAGCTGAAGCATAGTCCCACCAGATTAATCCCACTTGGCACAGAGCAAACACCAACACTTTCAGTCCTTACTGGGTGCAACCAGCCAAAGTACAGGAAACAGGTACTTTACACCCGGAATGTCTGATAAATGACAAGGGCTCCAAGTCAAGCACTCAAAATTATGGAAATTCCATAATTAAATCCCTAAAGCACACTGCATTTATGCCCTCATGCTGTGTAACATGCTGTGCTCTGTAGCTGCATGATCCACTAGGGTTTACTCCCTGGGATGGCCGTGTTACCTTCACATGTTACTGTGTTGTCCTGCAGACAGCGTGCTCCAACATCCTGCTTTTCCATTTCTTCACAGACTCTAATGCTCAGCACTTCAGCACTGAGTGAGTGCTTCAGAGTTACTAATGAAGCTGTTTTCTCAGGCACCTTTTCAGGTCCGGAGCTGAGGATGAAGAGATGGAGTTATACCTATTTAACAGGTGCAAAATAAGAGACAAAGGAGATTTAGGTCATAAGTACTCATTCATTTTGGATACACATTTTGAACCAACTAGGATCTAATTTTTTTCATGGTTTTGGCACTATACAGCACTTAGTTTAGTCAAACCCCAGATTCTGATGTCTGTGACTGCATCTGCAAATCTTTAGCACTTCTGTAAAGCAGCTTGGGAAATGAGGAAGACGCGGCTGCTCCTGTGAAAGCTCTTGCTTAGTGGCTCACCAACTCACAGAGTAACATTAAGGCAGGGTAGACACAGACTGAGCTCTCCAGGGAGGCATCAGCTGTCTACCCAGGAGAACCACCTTTCTTTCTGCAGTCTCTTGCTTCACCAACTTGATAGGAGTTTCCCAGTCCTGCTAAGAAAGGAGGCAGCCTAGCTGTCCAGCTTATTGCTCCCTCCAGCCAAGGTCCAGCCTGGGTGCTGAAGAGGTGGCAATCCAGGGCAAAATGCAGGAAGTAGTCATATGCACAAGACAGTTGAAGTTAGGCTGCCCAGGCAAACCCATTTCTGGCAATTTCTAGGTCTTTGGTACTTGGCTTTGCCACTTTTATGTGGGGGTTTTTTGACTGTCATTAGTAATGCTTTTTTTTTTTTTTTTTTCCATATTTTAAAAGAAGGAAACTGTAGCAAGAAAATGCCAAATGTGCTAGCTTATGTGCTAGCTTTCCAGATATGGACACCAAGCTTCAGGTAGATGGGTCCATCTGACCCCACTGGAGAGGAAGAGCAAGCTTGGGAAGAGCTGAAGGGTTGACAGGAGGTTGGCAAGGTCAGACCTCCTGCACACAGGGAAGTTTCAGTCTCAAGACATCGATTATTAGATTTTACCCCAGGCTATTTTGAAGGGATGAACTACATTCTCCTTCTCCTGTCCTGTACAGATCAACTTGTTGTGTATTTAGTTGAGCAACCTCTAATCTGTTCCTGGCAAGGACTTAGTAGCTCATAAGCAAGTACTCAGATGTACACTTACAAGAGTCTCCAGGTCAGCAGATCTCAAACCCTGGCAGAGTACATCCATTCAAGGCCAAACTTCCTCTCACTGCTGTCTTCACAGGCCTTGTCTACCTTCTGGGATCAGTCAGAAATTAACCAGATCACCCAGCTGCGCTCGGGACACTGAAAAGGTTCAGCTACCAGACGCCCCCCAGTCAGCCAGGGTTTCTTTGCTTCCGCTGCCTGGGCTGAGCCCACCAGCTGAACTATCCAAGCGCATGGACGTGCTGTGTGGAGGGCGCAGATGTTCTGACGGTTTGACTCATCTCCGTGGCAGTCTCGTTCGGTGATGATGGGGAAGGCCCGAAGAGGAAGGGCAGTGACCCGTTTAACCAGAAGGGCTGATCCACCCAGGGCTAGACTTACTGGTGATGGCAAGAGGCATGGCCCCAGATTCCTTTGTGCTTCCCAGTGTGTGCATTTCCAGGCGATACAAGAGCAGGAGAGGCACATGTGGCTGTTCAGCCACAGGACTCAACCTTGGGAATCTGCTACTGCTGCAGTGAATCCAACTGCATGAACCAAGCAGCAGATGTATTCCCTGGGAATGAACAATGCCTGATGGAGGATTTGATGTTCACAGGGCTTTGGTTGAAGCCATGATCCATGGCATGGGGTGGATGCTGTTTCTTAAATTAATATATGACTCTTGAGTGTATTACATTGCTGCGTCATGACTCCATTCAGAGGAAAATGTCCTTCAACACCACCCATCACCACAAAAGATGTTCAAGACTCCCAAGGATTGAGTACAGCTTATTTAGGGCATGTTCTTGCAGATAGACTCGGAGACACCCACCTCAGCGGGAGATGGCTGTGAACAACACTCATGCTAGTACTGTACTTTCACCCCAATGGGATCTGCTTCACTTTTGGATTATGGGGGTGTGTGCACCGGTTTTCCCTTCTCTCCACCCCATTTAGTAGGAACAAGAGTTTCCCAAATCCTTTATCTCACGCTGCCTGATTGGAGGAGGTGTGCAGCACAAGCAGCAGTGCTGATGGGCTCACCTGCAGTGAGCCTGTGCCCAGGCACGTGCGGTGTTTGTACAAGCGGCGCTGGAGCCCCGCACGTCGGAGGCAGCGTGGGGCAGGACAGGCAGCGTGGGGCAGAGTGGCTGTGCAGGAGGGGACAGGGGAGCTGTGCAGAAGGTACACCTGGTGCCTGTGCAAGTAGAGCTGAATGGCAGAACCACACTGGCAGAGTTACCAAAATACACAAATGGGTATAAGCCCCATCAGCCTGGACAGTGCACTGGCACACACAGCTCTCACCTGCTGCCAGCTCTCTGGGAGACAACCCAGAGTCCAGAGCAGGTTGCTGAGGGAGGCAGCAGTAGGGCTGAGACCCTGACTCAAACCTGGCCCATCCCCCTGAGCCCCCAGCCAGGGCTCTTCAATGCCTTTTTGAGAGAAACACAAGGAAGGAGGCCCATGGTCAAACGCCCAAACACCAAGGGAGGACTTGCTTAGTGCTGGCTGTTTCAGAAGGCTGGTAAAGTCCCACAAGTTTCCCCTGGGGGCTCAGAGCAGCAGATGGAGGGAGGGAGAGGGAGCAGTTTCAGATGATCACCAATCCTGTGCTTTCCACCCTTGCATTTTGGTACCCTGCCAAGAGAGAGGTGCTCTGTAATCAGCCTCCCAGGACATGGCTACTTTTCCTACAGCTTTGTATGTGGCTGCCAACACCAGTGCCCAGATACGGGTGACCTGCAGCCTCCCATGGCACCTCATCCCTCATGGTGCTTCAGAGGCGGGATGAGGGAGACATGCTACACCCCAAGTCATGCCAGCAGTGATGGTGCAAGTCCCTGATTTGAAGACTTGGTCCTCCTGGTGTCACAAATAATGCCAAAACTGGTTTCAAAGAAGGGACAGGAAAATAGAAACTCCTTGCCACCATTCTTTACCTGAACCCCAACGTAGATGTCCAAGAATGAGACCATCTTTAATCTTATTTAAGCCAAAGTTTTCTACTTCAGTTTTGGGTATCCTTGTTTTTCATATCAATACCTGATCCTTTGTGAGCCATCTGAAACTGTTGACCAGCAGGGCATCTTGTCCACCTGCACAAACCAGTTTGCTGGCTCTGTGAGAAGTGTGTCAGTTTACCAGTGTGAAATGAGTTGTCTTTCCATTTCTTTGAACATCTTGTGAGGGGGTGAGCAGAGGAACAGACTTATCTCTAAGCCAGGAATTGCTCTGCACATCTTTATCATGCAGCATTTCACTAGTTTCCACTCTAAACTGGTGGGACTTTTAGTCCCTGCATAGGGAAATTTTCCTGCAGCCCTAATTTAGGTCAGCACCCATCTTTGGATGTCTACTGATTTCATAGCAGGAAAGACAGAAGCAAACACAGTAGCCCAGGGAAACTTCCCTCCATCTACCATGGCATTACAGTTATAAAGGATGGATGTACCCTTCTTCATCCTCTCTTCGTCATTCCTCAAGCAGCCTTCCTCCTTTCCCCAGTGCTGCACAGTGAGAGGGACCCACCAGGTAGCTCTGCCTTGAATTTGGAGCACAGCCTTGAACCCTTTGACACATCTAAACCACCCAGCTGCCAGCTGGCACTGAGGCACACTCCAGAGCATGGCTGGGAGGAATGCAGAGCTGCTGCTAGCCCAGCATGCAAACTCAGCTGCCAAGCAGTGTGGGACCTTGCAGTCACAGCAGATGGTTGCTGTCAGATGAAGAAATGTGCTGCTCCAAAGCCCTGCCTGAATGAGGCTCCATGTCACACAGGGTACACTGGCTGCTTGCATTGCTCCTAAAACTTGTGCACGTGATCCAGCAACCTGCAGGTTTTCAACAGACAGCGGAACAGGTGCCTACATCCACTTTGCAGACACAGAGAACACCTTGCACCTGCAGCTGAGGGGTTTGTTTGGACCAGTGAGTCTGGCTTTGCCAGCCTGTTACACTGGCTGCATGGGGTGCCATCATGCTGCCCGGTCATACAGCAGTGCCAGCATGCAGCAGCACCTGACTACCTTAGCCACTCATCCATTACTGGCTGTCTGGAGCGAGAGAGTGAATCAGGTCACTGCCTCCAGGGAAGGTCTGCACAGAAGAAAAGGGATGCCTCACTTGGCAAACACCTGCAAAATGCAGCACTGACTCTGCTTGGCACCCACGGAGTTTGCCTCTGTCACAGAAGTCAGTAGCCCACTTACTGAGAGGCACTTGCCAATACCCACACATTAGCTGTAGTGCAAACACCCTCTTGCTGCCTGTCTGATCACAGAGAGTTCAGCACCACCTTGAGATGAGCTGTCAGTAGCCATTTTATCCTCAGCCAGAAACTACATGTTCGCCTGCTAGTGTCTCCATTGGATTTGGGAGCTCGCAGGCCTGCAGCACAGCCTTGCTGCCCAGTTCTTTCTGACAACCCCACGACATTTCAGCACAAGCAGGTATCCAGCAAATCCAACCAGCCCAGATGATGCTGCTGGAATTGGGGCCATGGTGAAGCAGAGGCAGTAACTGCAGTGTCAGGAGTCAGGACTTCCCCTGACGGTGTCACAGATGACAACTCAGCAAGTTCATTCTGCAGAAACTAGATAACATCAGCACAAGGTGGTGGTTACTGGCAAACGATCCTGTTCCTGAAGCTTCATCTGAGACGTGACAGGCTGCTGTGAAACCCTTTTGTCAAGCAGACCCAAACTCTGCTTTTGCTGAAACCCATGTGGCCTTCTGGAAGCAGCTTCATGCTGGTATTTCCTAGGAACACTAGGTTGCAATGCTGGGAGCCAGGGCTGTCCATCACCTTGCTAACACAGGGCCTTTTTGTCTAGCAGGTCCCTTGAACTACACAGGGATGCAGAGCTGTCAGTCTTACCCAGTCACCCACCTCCTGCCTTGGGCAGCAAAAGTTTTTCCGTCTCTTCAGGGCCTAACCTTTCTCCAATCCCTATGGCACCCCACTCACACTCTGCACAAGCACAGCAGGACACAGGACTGGAGAGAGGAAAGTCCTGCCTTCCTTCCTTCTTGGAAGTGACTGAAGTTCAATAAGTCAGCATTAAAGCCATCCTAGTACAACTGGGCTCACTCCCTGCCCCTGGGTAGGCTTTACTCACAAAGAAACTTTCAGCCCAGGCAGTCATACTACTGCCTGTTCTACCAGATAGGTCCCTGGGCAGAAGTCTACTTGAGTTGGTTACTCCACTTAAAAAAACAAACCAAAAAAAACCCCTCTTTAACTCCACAGCAAGGTATCTGGAGCAGGGCTTTTCACCACCAAATTAGCCCATCACTTTAGCTAATTGGAAATAACTTCTTGCTGACCCTGACAGACAAAACCAAAGGCTCAACATCATTAAGCTCTCTCATCCCACAACCACACAGTGCATCTTCAGCCTAAACTCAGCCCCAGGTGATGCATGGGTTGCAAAGCCTGGTTCTGGCCTTTGTGAGCTGCTCTGTGTCTCCCTGCTAGTCTCAGCACCAGCTCCTTCACCACTTTCTTCTCAAGTGTGTGGTGGGGAGCTGAAATATCTGCGCTGGGCAGGAGACCCAGCTGCATGCAGGCAGAGCCACTGAGGCTGTCACAGGTGCTGAGGCTTGGGGAAGCATCACAGGCACTGACTGTGCCTGGAACTACAACTCAGTTGCAGTGCAGGAGTCAGCCTGAGCTGACAGGTGCTCTCAAGGCTTCTGCTCCTGGGGATTCAGATGCCGAAAAAAGGAAAACTCCAGCCAATTATGTCAGGGGTGCCAGCCCTTCCTGGTGGCCCGGACCAGCAAGACCTCCTGGCTGCAGGGAAGGATCTTTTCCTCATATGCAAAGTGTTGGTGACAGAGCTGCTGACAGCAAGCTCCCTGCCCGTGGGGCTGGCTACACCTCTGACAGCAGCTGCCCTGCCTGCCTCCAGCACCCACCTGGGAGATGACCCTGGCCACCCCACCAGCTGCCTGGTGTGGGGAGACTCAGGCCCATAGCCAGGGACAAGTGACCCAGCCAGCTCTGCAGTTTCCTGAGCCCAGCAGGAGCATGATGCCTCCATGTGAGCACGGGATGTACATGGACCCATTCCCTTTGCTTGTGCCCACCTCCCACCCTCTTGCCCCCTCCCACTTCAATTGCCAGCAACCAGTGATCACAAATAGGCAAAAAGTGTGCAAAGCCAGGTGATACTTCCAGGCCCAGGGAAGCAGCAGTTGGTTTCTCTCATTTCTCTGTGAGCATCCTGGCAGCACAGTCCTCCCTGGCTCCAGTCCTGCACCCGCCAAGGGCCGTGCTGGTGCCAGGAGCTCTCAGCACAGTGTGGCACCCATGGTAATCAAAGCAGTTTCCGTAACTCTTGGTAAATACCAAGGCTGGGGATTTTTGGGGCTTGTTTTCCAGCAAGTTGAGTAGAAGAACCAATAAGGACAAAGACAAATGAATACCTGTTGCCCTTGGCTCAAAATGAAACAAGACAGGTCGCTGGCAAAGGTTAGTTAATACCACTTACCACAGAGTTAGGGAGTCACCCTCAGCCGCTGACAAGAAGGGCAGAGGAGGCAATTTTTCATAGACAAAGTGAGAACAATACTATGAAAACTGCAAAGTAATGACCCCCAAGCAGCCTCTGCTGCAAGCCAAGGGAGGGAGGGGCTGGATGCCCTGTCCCCAGGACTGCACTGATACCTTGCCTACAAGGGGATGGAGCCAGTGGGCTGGGAGAGGATGAGGAGGAAAGGAAGAGGGCCACAATGAAGCTTTGGGAGCATGATGGCCTGCTCAACCTCTTTGGGATGAGCTGATTGCAGGAGAGAGGGGAGAGGAGCTGGCAAGACACTTCTGGGGAAACAGAGTCCTCGCTGCCCATGGGCCCTGACACTTTTCGAGGGTCCAGCAAAAAGAAAAGAGGCATGCAGTGTAGAGCACTCACACCAAACTCCTGTATCTGGACTCCCAGCCAGTTTATCCCCCACTGGCTCAGGCCTGGTGATTTTGGGCAAAGTGGGACCTACCTTCCCTTAGGAGTGAAGAGGAAAGGGTGGCTTTGCAGAGGGAACTGGGGTAATATGTGAAGGGCACCAGAGAGCTGTTACAAGCATGGAAAAGTAATGCGGCTCACCTACCTGGGATTCAGGAAAAATATGGTATCACATTACTCTGGCCTGAACCACCAGGGAGTGTGAGAAGGAGCACAAGAGTTACGAATGTGGATCTGAATGTGGATTTCACAAAACAGGAGATGGGCATGTCCTGGAGGAGCCTGGCTGGCACCCTGGAAATTCCTGCTGGTGGTCCTGGTTGTTAAGCTACCTCAGAAGCAGAGAGGCCTGCAGGTGAAATGGCCAGGAAGCACCACTGTTGCCAGGTGGGCTCACATGTTTAACAAGAACCATCTGATGGAACCATGGTATGGCACCATGAACCACAGAATGACAGAAAGGTTTCAATTGAATGGGATCTTTAAAGGTCATCTGGTTTCAACCCCCTGCCACGTGAAGGGACTCCTTCCACTACGCCGAGTTGCTCAGGGCCCTATCCAACCTGGCCATGAAGACTTCCAGTGACGGGGCATTCATCACTTCCCTGGAGACCGGGTTGCTCAGGACCCTATCCAACCTGGCCATGAAGACTTCCAGTGACGGGGCATTCATCACTTCCCTGGACAACCTGTCCAGTGCCTCACTCCCCTCTTTTTAAAATGTTCTTATATACAATCCAAATCCTCTTTCAGTTTAAAACTGTTGCTCCTTGTCCTATCACTACAAGCCCTGGTAAAATGTCCCTCTCCAGCTTACCCAGAGACCTTTGGGTAGGGGAAAGGTGCTCTGAGGTCCCCCAGAGCCTCCTCCCGGCTGAACAGCCCCAGCTCTCGCTGCCTTTTCTCACAGCAGAGGTGCTCCAGCCCCCTGCCCGTAGCTGCGGGCCCGCTCCGGACCCGCTCTGAGAGCTGCCCGCCGGCCCGGAGGCGGTCGGTGCTCAGGGCGCTCTCCCAGGCCGCGGGGCAGAGCGGGCGCTCCGGGCCCCGCACCGGGCGGTGACCCGGCGGGAGCGGAGCCGGCACCGTCTGGCCGCATAGCCCGGCCCAACCCGGCTCGGCCCGGCCCAACCCGGCTCGGCC